CAAAAACACGGTCTTTGACGTATCCCCACAAGAAAAGGTCACAGGGTGTGATGTCTGGGGATCTTTGGGGCCAAGAGTTTAGCGCCAAGTCTTGGGTTCCCGTGCGGCCTCTCCAACGTTGAGACAGTGTGTCTTGCGAATGACTGAGGCTAGGCGCTGTTTGTGGGCTGGGAGAGGCATCTAGCGATACTCATTTGAAATTCTATGCCCCGCCCTTTCAAGAGGTAAGAGTTTCATTCATGGGCGGTTCGTGGTTGCAGAGATATAGCGATTTCAAATTGGGTTAATCTCTGTTAAACACCCTGTATATACTACAGACCCCGCACTAGCTTAATCCGGCACTGGTTGCAGTGTCGCAGTTTATGGAAAAGGATAACCCTTGTTTTGGACTTGGCGGTTATATTTTTCAAGTGGTCATGGCAGGTCCAGCTTCACTCCAAGAGAAGTTGGAGAGATGTCGTGTTGCACAGAGTTTCTGAAGAAGGTCACTTTCAGAGTGTGTGCTTGACGCTCCTATTGTCAAGATTAAATGCAGTGACTGTTGTTGTGTGGGGATTTTGCTTGAGCTTCCATTTCTAGAAATATTCCCCCATGGCAGTGTTCTTCACTGATTTGCAGAGGGGGGCCACTTTCACTGATAAGACATCATCAGTGTGAGGGCTGCCACACACGTGAAACCTTTGAGGTGTGACAGTAGCACGATAATGATGGGGATTGTCTTCACATTTGTGTATTGTCGAGGGATCCCATATCAAGGGCCGCACTAAAGGACAGCAGGGGCCGCCAGTGACCCGCCGGCCTTGCAATAAAGAACCCTGCCCCATAGTGTGTAGGTTTCGCTTCAGATTGAATGTTACGTCGTTGACAGTGGCTGCTTGGATTGCCAGGGCAAGGTTATATACCGAATGCAGGTTATACTCTTTGGGTTTTTTGGTAAAGTCAAATAGATAGAAAAAAATACTTAAAAAATCACGACATTTCGATCGCAATGCAAGCAATCGTATTCAGGTGAAAAAATGTACAGCAGGCGAACTGCTGAGGCAGGAGAAATATAGCGAGAGAACTACTGCAGCAAAAGGTTATAAAGGTTTGAGATGGATATAACCCACGGGTAAGTGGGCGGGGCTAGAGATAATATACCTCGGATGTTTAAAATCGTAATGAGACCAGATGGCTCATTGGGATACTGTCTACAGGAAAGCCACCCACACGGATGCCTATCTAAAACCTGACTCCCACCACCATCTAGCCCAACTGTCACCCCAACCGTTGGGAGAGAACCACCTGAGGACCCAATCAAAACCATCACATTGCCATACATAGCAGGGGTCACCAAAACATTTCCAAAATCATGAGCAAACATAAGATCCAGGTTCGATTCAACACAGTACATACAATTCGTGATCTGATTCCATCTGTGAGGGATGCGATCCGTAACAGCAATACCCCGGTGTCTATAAATTCATTTGTTTTAAATTTCAATTTAAAGCTTTCGTGACTGCAGGGGTTCATCTTCTTGGTTCTCTCGGTAAAGTCACGTAGAAGGGAAATAAAAAGTTTTATTTTTATTATTTAATTATTTCCCTTCTACATGACTTTACCGAAAGAACCAAGAAGATGAAACTAATTTGTGTCTGCGGCAGCAGTTACATTGGAGAAACCACGCGATATGTCTCAGACCATGCTTGTGAACACAAGGCGGATCTGAAACACGGTAAGACTGATACTTCGGCCATGGTTGATCATTGTTTTAATGCTGTGGTCACACATGATATTGATTTCTCCAAGACGAATGTACTATGCAAACCCATTGGCTATCAACAAAGATTTGTTCATGAATCCATCTAGATATATAAACACATTTCAACCGAGAATATGGGTACAAACTGAGCAATCATTGAAAGGATGTAATTAACCCGGTAAAGTCGTAACTGGCTGTATTGCTTCCAACCTACCAGCCGATGTTCATAGTTATATCTGACTCTCTGAGTCACATTACCTTGTTAAATGTATTTACATTTACAGGCTAAATGTCTCACTAACATAGCCGCTGCTTCCCTTTTTCCTCAATCTGGTGGTGGCTCTCGTTGTTTAATAGACTGAATGTGTCTCATTAACACTGCCGCTGCTGCGGGAGCCATCTCACATTGACATGCTAACCTCTAATCTCTGGCAATACAATACAATGGCTTCTTCGGCACCGTAGTCATGGGGTTACAGTAACAGATTGACATGCTAATCTCTAAATTCCATCTCTACCCCCGCCCACTTACCCTTGGGTTGTACCTATCTAAAACCTTTATAACCTCTTGCTGCAGTAGAACTCTCGCTATATTTCACCTGCCTTAGCAGTTAGACTGCTGTAAAAAAATATCACCTGAAGACGATTGCTTGTGTTGCGATCGAAACTTCGAAAATGTTTTTATTATTTTTCTATCTACGTGACTTTATCGAAAGACCCAAAGAGTATGAATTCCTGCAGCCACGAAAGCTATAAGTCAAAATGTAGGTTAGTGAAGATCAAATCAATGCTAATGATCATTTATACTTGTAATGTGCATTTTATCTGTAGACCCCAATGCACTCCGTGTATCGAAAGCAGGAAATAAACAGAACCAGGATAAACGCCCAGAAGTAGGGGGTAAATATAGCTTACGATTCTGATTTTCTTATTGGCAAAGGCATAACATTCCAAGACTTGCCAGCTGCAGAGGAAATGAGCCTTGATCTTGGAGTACTTAGAAGAAGAAGGCGATCCGAAGGGCTCAGCCACCACGTTGGTCCATAATGATGGATCAGTTTCTGTATATATTGCGGGGCTAATCCAATGGGTGTCTTGTAAGTCAGCAGCAGGATCTTATAGTCTACTCGACTGGTAGCCAATGTAAACCCAAGAAAGCAGGTGTGTGATGCGCTCGCCACTGATGGTTTTCAGGTTTATGGGACAGTGCATTAACCAATGTTCCGCTGCTCCATTCGCACATGGATAAACACATCCACTTTATAGCATGCAGGCGATAGCTCAAAGAAAAAGGTTCATGATGAATGTGGAGTGTAGTAGTAGCCCAGCACTGAGAGTGAAATAATGATAAAAGTGCAATTTCTTGTTCAGGCCACTGCTCGCGAAAGAAGGTGGGAGTTCTCACACTTTGCCAAATGCAACCTGCTGTTGTACCGAACTGGTGTACCTATTTATGTAGCTGGGAGGACAGAAGCGGGGGGGGGGGGTTCACGTAACAAATTGCTTCAACTGCCTCCCAAGGAGATCAAATCAGACCGGCCATCCCTGGATTGCAATTGCAGTGTGCTAACTGCTACACTACCGCAGCCAACTGATATTATGTATATATATACAGTAGTCCCTCAGTTAACAGTGACATCGGTTAACGGTTTTACGGTTAACGTTTTGCCTCCCATGGGACCCCATGGTTTACACTAATGTTAACGGGTTGATTAACGGTATGTTTGCGTAGTCCACACCGGTGCCAATTTCGGCCAATCCGAGTGCTTGTAAGTGTGCTGAGCATGCATCAGCCAATCAGCGATGCGCATTTATGAGAGTTTCGACCTCGAAATTTTTTAATATTATGTTTTCTGTTTTGGCAGTGGAAACAGCTCTCTTGCAGAATGGCCCAAAAGTCAACACACATAGGGTTATTATATACGCACAAAACACGTGTTTTTTTTTTTACTAATTACCAACTGAGTTCCATTCGCATACATTAATTGTCTTTTGAAATTGATTTGAGATTTATTCATTTAAGATTCAAGGTGTAATATTTTAACATTCATCAATTGTGTTTTGTCTCAATTAATTAAGGATTCTTGGTTAAGCTTTGTAGCTGACAGATCTGAAGTGAACCCACAAGAAGAAGAAAAACATTTATATTAACAATGATAATAGATAATATATTAACTTAAAGACTATACAATTACAATGTTCAATGCCAGTGTTAAATTAACGCTGGCATGACTTTTGGATAACTCTGTGTATACAAACAAAATATTAAATCATTGACAAAAGAAATTCAGGAAAATTTACAATTATGATAATATGATGGATGTCGATTAAAAAAACACTTAATAATAATAATAAACACAAGCATCTGTTATTTACAGAGTCAACTGCTCTGATTAATTGCAGCCAACCATATCGGGGCAACTGGGGAATGGCTAACACATGTTGGTCCACCAGCAACACTCTCGCCCCAAAGAACATAGAAAACAAATACATAAACTACCATGCTTGCACTTATAATACATCAAAATTCACCAACACTCCATAAATAATTCGTGCATTTGGGATAGCTGCTATGGAGCATCCATTATTAATTTAACAAACATTTACATTTGTGATTACCAAAAATAGCATCATAAACTTCAATGCTTCTAAATAAGTTTTGACATTGATGACATTCTCAGGTATTGATCCAATATGAAAGTGATCTGTTACTAGATTCTCCTAATTACAGACCATAAATGGAATTATAGCGCCACCTGGCCAGTTCTGATGTAAGAGTAGGGCAACTATATTCGGTCTATAGATGCTGTCATTTCATATCATTTGAGCAGTGGTTTTCAACCAGGGGTATGCGGATCCCTGGGGGTACGTGTCAATGTCCCAAGGGGTACGTGAGCTGATGTATAAATATCGTACATGAGTCATTGGGGAATAATCATGCATGAATCTGGCAATCGAAAATAATTTATCGTAGACAATGCGGGTATTGAAGCGTAACCTGCGAGCGTGAACAATTTACGCCAAGCATGCAGAGCGTCCATTGATTTGTTTAATTCGCTTGCAGTTACTCGCTAGTTATGATGCCTCACAAAACGAACAATTGGTTAACATATTGATATTCATTATTCATACATTTATTTATCAGAATCATGTGAGGGCAGGCAAGGGGGTGCTTGGTTGAAACTAAATTAAACAAGGGGGGGGGGGTACAGTAGTAGCCAAACAAGGTTGACAACCACTGCATGACAGTGCTACGTACCCAGCAAGTCGTTCTGTGGCAGCCAGGGCACCAGCTTAGTGTTGGAGCCCAGGGAAGACGGCTTCTCCCCCTCGTATCTCCACACCACCTACCAGGTCACAAGGCGTCGCGTCACACACTCCAGTTGAAGGGAAGAGGCAACCAGCACTCTTATACAGCTCTTACGTTGTAGACACGTTCCCAGATTGGTTGTCTTGAGCTGACAAAAGCCTGATCCTGACTTTAATGAAGATTAAATTGACTTAAAGGTTGCGAACAGTGTGTCATCATAGCACAACGGTGACATTGTGGTGACGTTGATAAAACAATGTTTAACAAGTGGATGGTGGTATTTTAGTATGTTGCCATTGCTATAGCATTTCCTCCAGATAAACTTCATCCAGCTACGTATATTGAACTTATTTTGCCCCGTAAGTAGCCAACCATGCTCGTCGGAGCATGCAGGGGAAAGACAACAAACTAAATACTTAAAGCAGTTCTAAACAGCGAGACAATCCCCTTCCCCCCCCCCCCCCCCCACTGCTGTAGCCATAGATTTGTTATTGTATTACCTTCTGTGGCAGCTGAGCGAGTGCAGAGGCGATCACTTCAGCCCTCTCGACAGGCATGTATTTGATCATGGATCCCAGCGAGAACACAATTAGGCCGTGCTCACCTGAGCTCTGCGCAAACTCTTCAAAGTCCTGAAATCAACAAAAATAGAGCAAGAACGTGCACGGTTACATTGATCTGAAACACTATAGAAAGCAGGAAGCATAGTTACGTATTTGACACGGTATATGACGCTGTTGTCCTTTCACTGCACCTCCGATAAGCGCGGTTGGCAACATACGGTGCAAAAGAGGTTCAACGTACATACGTACATACTTGATATCTGGAGGGCTCAGAGTGACACAGCCACACACAGATAGGATGAGGCAGATGCATGATGATACTAATAATGCAATTCTGCAATGCACACGGTGTATTACGAACATGAAAGACGAAAAACCTAAAAGCCAGGCGAAAGAGCCGGGCAAATGTGCAGAGGGTTGGGAATTCAGATTCGGGGCTGCCAGGGAAAAATGTCGCCTGGCAGTAACGATCCTGGTCCTTGGTGTAGAGAGGAAGTTGTACGTTGTGCTGTGGAGAGTTCCACAGTGTATGTGCTCGTATTCATGTGGAACTTATTTTGCACCGTATGTAACCAACCGTGCTAATCCGGGGTGAGCTGTTTTGAAGGATAATGTGGGATCTAGATTTATGCGGACGGCTCTGACAATTTAATATTTGAGCCAGCGATGAATATGCTAGAAAAGAGCGTGGACATGATGATCGGCTGTCTGATCACGGTAGCTTTAAATTCGGACGTGATTCAAGAAGAGACCATGGGCACAGATTCGCTGGTGAAAGGTAGCGGGCACACTCTGATAGCCTTTTGTATCCAGCGACATCATTGGAATCAATGTAGGTGCTGAGTAGGCTGTCACCTGTGTGGAAATAGACTTTGACAAAACAAATTATTAATTAGGTGGACCAATAGGAGTAGCAGGGGACCGAGGAAGAGAACCCAGAGGGACTCATAGTGGGTGAAGTTGTTTGCATCAAATCAAGTGTAACACTACAGAGGTGTTCTTCGTGTTCATTTATATTTCAGTTTTGCAATTAGTGCTCTTCTTTTGAATCAAATATGCATATATGTAGTTGTTTAAATGATAATGAAATATCAGATTTTTTAAAAATTAGATTATAATCTCGATTTAAAGCTTTCGTGACTACAGGGATTCATATTCTTGGTTCTTTCGGTAAAGTCACGTAGAGGGGAAATAATAAAATAATAAAAATAAACCATGTTTCTATTTCATTTATACCTGATGACGATTGCTTGTGTTGCAATCGAAACGTCGTATGCTAGTATTTAATTTATTATTTTCTCTTTATACGTGACTTTATCGAAAGAACCAAAGAGTAACATAATATAAATTATCATGACGTGAAGAAACCTGAGGACGACTGCTTGTGTTGTGGCCGAAGCGTCATAAGAATGTTATTATATTGTTTTATTTTTAATATTTTATTATTACCCTTCTACGTGACTTTACCGAAAGAACCAAGAATATAGATTATAATCGTTTGATTATTTTCTAGAATGGTATGTTTAAAATATTGTCAATGATCTAATATAATATAAGAGAATATCTGCATAATTGTAATATCGTTAAACTAATCATTGATGAAATATCATGCATATAAAATAATTATGCAGTTGTTGTTTTGTCCAATAAATAGTAATTAATGTTTGTGAAAAAAAAGACTGTACTTTTTTTATTATGGGACCATTAATGACCCCAATTGGTAACTGTTATATGTGAAATATGTCGATCACTGTAAACAAATAAAATAAACATTATGTTATGGAAAAGTATTTCACAAATGATTTCGAGGCGTTCGTGGCGTGTTCCCTGTTGTATGTCCGATGTGAGCATCATAGTGCACGTTCATATTTGGTAAGTACAGTGATATCTTTTATGCTATTGATGTTTTATATTTGATGTTGCTATCTGATCGGTCATGTCATCAGTGTCATTGATGCTGGTGCTGAGTGCAGTAAACCCTCGCTATGCATGAGTTCTCGATTCGGGAGTTTTGCATATTCGGGAGGCACTAAATGTACACTAGTTCCCTATTCGCGACCCAGCTGGACTTCAGTATTCGCGAGTCTACGTAATGCCTAGGGACCACTGAGACCGTGGAGGTGTGCGCAGAACGTTACTACGTTTGAAACTGCCTGTGAAGATTATGCACGCCAATCTTAATTTGGAGCTTTCGTAACTGCAGGAATTACTCTTTGGTTCCTTCGGTAAAGTCAAGTGTAAAGATAAAATAATAAATTAAATACTAGTATACGACGTTTCGATTGTAACACAAGCAATCATCATCAGTTATAAATGAAATAGAAACACAAATCTAGTATACTTAGAAATGGAATGTAATACAACAGAGAGTCGGATAACATAACAGTCAACACCCTACCTGGTTGATTACATTCTTCCTGAGAATGCTAAATTTGAGAGAGAGATAAAGCACAGAACCAGAAACATATAGACAGACATATAAGCGAACAGATATCACAGATATACATAGAGAGAGAACAAACATAGGCACACAGAGAAAGCCACGTCTCTGTGTCGAGCCCTTAAATAGAGAGAGGGGGCGGGGGCGGAGAGAGAGGGAGGGGCTAGAGAAAATTAGCATGTCAATGAGAAGCACGACGCGGTGCGAAAGCTTGAAAACATTTAGATATTTTGCTAGGTTATTTAATTTAGTGTGTCTCTCTCCCTGTATCCTAGTTTTCAAGCTTTCGCACCGCGTCGTGCTTCTCATTGACATGCTAATTTTCTCTAGCCCCTCCCTCTCTCTCCGCCCCCACCCCCTCTCTCTATTTAAGACCATGACACAGAGACGTGGCTTTCTCTGTGTGCCTATGTTTGTTCTCTCTCTATGTATCTCTGTGATATCTGTTCGCTTACATGTCTGTCTATATGTTTCTGGTTCTGTGCTTTATCTCTCTCAAATTTAGCATTCTCAGGAAGAATGTAATCAACCAGGTAGGGTGTTGACTGTTATGTTATCCGACTCTCTGTTGTATTACATTCCATTTCTAAGTATACTAGATTTGTGTTTCTATTTCATTTATAACTGATGATGATTGCTTGTGTTACAATCGAAACGTCGTATGCTAGTATTTAATTTATTATTTTATCTTTATACGTGACTTTACCGAAAGAACCAAAGAATTATGTACGCCATTTCGGCTGTCCGTTTAGTCCTCAGTCTTGCAGTAATCCCGCTCTGAACTCGCTATTGTGCATGTTTTACTTTATGCAGTACACACTTGCTAATTAACTGCCCCTAAAGGGCGGAAAAAAGTGATGAGGTTGAGTGAATAGGTATAAGTGTTTGGCTAGATACTGTTGAGAGTGGGTCTGTGGTAGGCCGACATTTTGGTATAAACGAGTCGACTGTGAGGTCCATTAAAAAGCACGCGAATTAAATGAGGGAGTGTGTTGTGGCTAGCACTCCCCCTCAGTAATCATGACCTCCGAGGAGTCATGCTGCTGAATTGCTCACCTCCCTCGTCGTCAAATCATCAACATCAAAGGAAATACCAAAAAATAAACACATTGTTCTTTATAATTTACTAGCTTTACTACCCGGTTTCGCCCGGGACTTGGATTCTTGTCTTGGATTAATACACGGCCTACGCGGAGGGTGGGGGGGGGGGATGCGTGACGTTAGCAGGCACACTGCGTAACTTAGCCGCATGCGGGTGACATCGCGGATGTGACGTCACCGCTCACTTGCCGTGCAATATATATATGCCTTATTGCGCCCTCCCCCCCCAGAATACAAAGTCTATTTTTATACTTTTTGCATTGTGTACAGTCTGGAAGCTATCCACATGCCACATTTCAAGTTTGTTGCATGTTTGGAAGTATGCTAAACATTTCGAACAGACACACATATTCACAAATTTCCCTTTTATATATGTAGATTATGCATTGTAGTAATTGTTATTAATAAAAAATTTCCATTTACCCCCTGTATTCACAAGGTTTCTGCATTCGCGATGGTTTTCAAGAATGTAACCCTCGCGGATTGAGAGGGTTTACCGTACATGTCATTTATGATGGCCATATTATTATTATCGTTGATGATAATTTTGTTGGTTAAGCTATCGCATTGCTTAACTTGCCTCGGGTAAGGGCTTTGCGGGTTTGCAGTGGAGCCCCCCGACGAAGACGAAGTTTGGGGGGAACGGGCGTGGGAAGTCGAGGTCCCAGTTGTTCCGGATGAGCCAGAACTCGGCGCCGCTCATCACCTGGCAGATTGTCGTTTCCTCTCCTGCGATGTCAGAGATGGCAGTGCAAGCAGGATGTATTTTGTATATAGCGTACAATTTCAATTTGCGAGATAATGATTATAGAGCTCTTTCACATGCAATCACACAGATATCTAATATTTGTAAAAAAAAAAAGACATTTAGAAGTATTGGCGGTACACCGGTGCAGCATAACAACACAACAGTTCCCATAAAAGTCTGACAATGTCACTATTGACCCTTGAGCGGGCTGCAGACTCTCCATCAGCTGCTTTCCCAATTCGAACGTGCGGTGATACCATGAGTCTTTTGATGCCACGGTCCGCTCAGAAATTGTTCTGTAAATAAATCGAGGAACCGTCCGACCAAGTCATGGAGCAGGAGTCAAATATTGCCTTTGGAACACTGAGCCAGCCAATCGTCATCATGGCTGGGTGCTGCTATACAGCAACAGAATGTGAAGCTTCGTGTTCAGCTGCTCATAAACATTCGCCTTCCGACTGCTTCGAGATCACCAGAACTGATTTTGATGTACCACCCTGCAAGATTTTCTGACCTGGCTTGCGAATCGCAGGAAAATAAGTAATTCTTGTGAAAATTAAGCTTTTTTAATTACACTGCACACCACCAGTGCACCGCCAATACGTCATTTATCTACCACACCTTTCTGAAAAACAATACATTTAACTCTTTTGCTCTGAAATTGTTTGCTTAAATTAACTTTTTTCCACAAAGTTTAAACGCTTGACACACATGCACTTACCTAGCACTTCACTGTATGCTTTGTTAAACTCTCTGGCCATGATGAAAGTCAGTACGTCAGTAAATGCGTACATCGCGGTATTTCGCACTCGTTGCCAGAAGTGCATCTGGTCCGTGAGATCAGACATGGGCACGGGCACGTAGGATGGAGGTGCGGGCATCGCCCCGCAGTAGCGCTCAGCCACATAGCCCAGTGATAAGCGCAGTGAGTAGACGTAGGGGATGCCCAGTGTTAGAGCCAGCGCATCACCACACACTGCGACTGGGTCGGCTAGGAGCACGTGGAAGTGGCCATCCCGCAGACGAGAGACCAAGTCCTTGTCGCGTGTCAATGCCATGCACATTTCCTTGGCGACTGCGTGGATGTGCGTGTGCAGATATGCATGCATGGGTTATACACAAAAAACGATAAGCAAATAAACAAGCAAATGTGATTTACAAGTGGGGAAAAGATAACGGCGTGGTAACATGGCTCAGCGGTCGCATGTTCGCTGCATGGTTAAGAGATTCTTGGTTAAAATTTGTCCAGGTCACCACGGGTGATACGCGAGTTGTATTAACGGTAAATGTAAACGCCTTATCCTTTTTCGAATCACACCATTTCTTTGGGGGTTTACTTTAAAAGTGGAGGCTGCCGTGTGCCAAGTGTCATGGTCCAAATTTCCGAAAGAATCAACACAAGCAGGCGCAGAGAGTAGACCCATCATTTACCATACTCTTTCACCCATAACACGCGACCTAAGAATCCAGCCAATTGAGTTTGAGTCAAATTAGTACATCAGTGCTCTAAGGTCCCTCAATGTCACACGCCTGCATACACCAGTGTGGTAAAATATGATAAAACAATATCAATGAGAAGGTATTGGGAGGCCTGTATCCAGTATTCGTGCATTTATCTACTTAAGGAGCACCACGGTGCCGTGATGTTATCTTCCTCGTCTGGTATGCAAGAGGTCAGGGGTTCGTTTATGATCCTGAGGCCTGTATATTTGGAGTCTGCATGTCTCTCTCTCCATGGTCGCAAGGATGTTTTTTTTTATCTGGGTCTTCCTATTTTTCGCTCCACAGTTAGAATCAACATGCGTTTAGATTATTTAGATTATTTGACTGCTATAAATTTCCAAGTGATAAGTCACTTCGCTAAACTATCGTTTGTGGCCAGGTCGCTTACGAATTAATTCAGTGGGCTTTACCTGCTACAATATATATACATACGTTTTTGTGTGATTTGCTTTGCTTTCATATACTTTTCACTCCTATCGTGTTTCCGAATAGTTTGTTGCTGTCACGTTCTGACCCCGTGCATCTATAAATACGAGCTTGATAGTTCATCGGATTCCTCCTTTATAGAGAAAATATCCTAACTCTGTAAATTATTAGACATCATTGGCAAGAGACATCTCATAGTCCCATCTCATTGGCAGTATATAAATCTGCCCCTTCAACATCCCCTTTTAGATGGCATAATTAGCTTTTGCCATCCACCATCCATATGACATTCACCAGAGGCTATAGAATTGTTATTATTTTGTAGTTTGTTGTCCTTCCCTCGCATATCTGATTTTAATGGTTGACTACGTACGGTGCGAAAGGAGTTCATAACAGTGTATCGGGCTCGCCCTATTCCTCTCTTCCCATGACCTAAACGAGGGGACAGGCCGGTTAATAAAGACAACAACATAATACGAGTTCAGAGGCCATGAGTGGATACTCTGCATTGCATTCTTCCCTCCTCTTGAAAATCGAATGACTCCACCACCGAGGGACATCAGAGGGTTGTGGAATGGCAACTCTTCATTTCAAAGTGTTCTTAGGAGCATTCGTGCATTTGTGACTATGACCATATGAACACCAATAAGACCCCACGTTGCACAACACCTCACTGCTAAATCGCTGTACAGCGTCCGTCTGCATCTGAATAGGTGCCCTGTACCCTGAATTGATTCCTCCACTGGAGGGGCGTGGCTTAGTGTGCAGTCACGTGAGTCTTTGGGTCCAATACATGGTCATCATTAACTCCATTGAAGACACTGGTCTACAATTTTTTGGACGTTGTCTGCTTCAGAGATGAAGTGTGCTGTTTATTATGAATTTTGATGTGCTGAATTCAAATATGAAAATTAAAACAAATGATTGGCTACTGTTCCCAAGATATTAAAGTTTTTACATTTTACGTCTATGCATATTGTGTAGATAGTAGAGTTTAACTCATAAATTGTAAACCTACGTCTTTTGATGTGTTTATGGTTGCTTTACATGATAAAATGTCACCTGTCCTGTTCATGTAATAGGTTTTCCCCCTTTTTTCTGACAACATTATGACCACAAGCATTGTGGTTAATGCAGAATTGATTCCTTGTAAAAGGTTTCAGTTTGGTGTTTTAACATTTTAATACCTGTTTTGTTGCCAAAAAAGGGGAAAAACCTATTACATTTTGGTACTGGCAAAGGAGGTCCCATGATGTAGATGCTCAACCCGAGCTCGCATTACTCTGATAGTGCATTGTCTTTGAGTTGTACGCTGTTTGGCGTCCTCTGGTCTCACACCGTTTGAGACAAGTTTCATAAGAAAGCTGTCTCTGGTGTGGACCAATCAGTTTCAAGGACAATGCATATATCATCAGAGTATGTTTTTTGTTTGCATTCTGACCACAAAAATTGTGGTTAATGCAGACATGATTCCTCGTAAAAGGTTTCAGTTTTTTAACATCTTAACACCTGTTTTGTTGCCAGAAAAAAATGGGAAACCCCTATTATCATATTTTAGTACTGGCAAAGGAGGTCCCATTAAGCAGTGTATGCTGAACACTTTTCCGCCCGGGCTCCAATGACTGTCGGAGTGGCCAATCTATCTTGATGTAGTGGGAATCTCTCACACGACTATCCCATTCACAGAAAAACCAGCAGTACTTTGTGTATCCAGTCTGCAGACCAAGCAAGAGAGCAACAACCTTCAAATCCACACAAAGCTGCCACTGATGTTGGTCATAGTTATGCAGTTGTTTCATGTTGTCATAAGTTTCCTTCATATGGACTGCATAACCAACCGGAATTGAAGGCAAAACATTGCCATTATACAGCAAAACAGCTTTAAGACTCATCTTCGATTAATCAATGAACAATATCCACTCATCTGGATCATGAACAATGTTGAGGGCTGCCATCAAACCATCGATGTTGTTGCAGGCTACAAGATCACCTTCAATGAATAAGAATGGGACAAGATCATTTTGACGGTCAAAAAACATGGAAACCCTAACATTACCTACCGGGAGATTCCACTGCTGCAGTTTGGATCCCATCAGCTCTGCCTTATTCTTGGGTAGTTTCAAATCCCTGACAGGGCCTTTCAGTTCACCTTATGTTATGAGGTGTGGTTTAGTGGAGGAGGATGGGAGAAAATCTGGGTCATGTGACCTTGATGGTTCAGGACCAGAAGTTTCATCCTCTTCCTCGTCTGCCTCAAGTGAGAATGACTCTAGTGCATCAGGAACCAGCAGTCCTTCTCCATGGGGTACTGGGCATATAGCTGATGGAATGTTTGGAAAATGCACAGTCCACTTTTTCTTATTTGACAGACCTTTCCAAACTGGAGGCGCCATGCAGACGTAACAATTGGTGATATGATCTGTTGGCTCTTAGCAAGCCATTGGCACTGCAAATGGCATAGATTTACTGTTCAACCACTGGCGAAGATTTGTTGCACATGTGTTGCAGCATATGTGTGGGGCCCACATCTTGTCCTGATTTCCAATTTTTCTGTCAAAATAAAGGTGATATGCCTTCTTAACCATAGCAATTATACTTCGCTTTTGTGATGCAAAAGTCACTTCACCACAAACATAGCAGAAGTTATCTGCTTTATTCACCTAAGTACGAGGCATCTTTGCTCACTTTAGCGGAAAAAAGTGTCCCTTTGCAAAATCAAACACTGAGAAATAAGAGAGCACGACACAGCATTATTTATATAGCTGAAATAGGGCAATTTGGTCAGAAGAGGGATGTAAGCCTAGTTATGATTGCATCATCCATGACTTCTCGGAATAACATGATGCAATTCTTGACTTAAAGCTTTCGTGACTGCAGGGATTAATTTAGTATTTCTATCTACATGGCTTTAACGAAAGACCCATAGAATATGATGCAATTCATATCATGTATGATGCAATACCAGGTTCAGATTGCATAATTCATTGTTTTGCTCAAAAAGCAAATACTGTCCACACCCAGTCATAGATTTATTCATAGATCCAGTCAAATATGTGTTTTAGTAATTTATGGTTTAAATTGAGATCCTCCACCATTTCCAAGTCAAGGGTCATATATACTGACTCAGTAGCATATCTTGAAAACTAGAGCCAATCAACAATTTTTTGCATCATTTTCGTTCTCAGTGGCCCAGAATAAGTAAAGTTGGACTACATTTATTTCGAAAGCAGTTTGGCTGTAGACCAGTGTCATTATACGTGTGATTCATTACATTTACCCTATACCGGCTACACAAGCAAGAGATTGGTCATCTCCAAGAGTTATATTTGGTCCTGATGAGGTTGTTGGTTTAACAGTTATTTCTTGGCAAACGCAATGAACATTGTAATTGGTGTCTGTTACAGCAGTGCCATTGAATTAATCCTATGGGTTATGGATTATTATTTTTATTTAACGAAACTGATATTTCTTATTGTGTACCCGTGTGAGTGACACTCGTAAATTGGAACAAAAGTGCAGTTGACGTACATAATTGTAAAAATGCATTACGAGTCACATTGAACCAATTCAAGACACAACTGAGATTTAGTTACAGCCATTTCCAGAAGACATTATGAAGAAACGGTACAATTCTTTACATAAGCAGAATTGACCATAAATGTCAGGGCTTGCACACTCATGAAAAATAACACTTTAGACTGAGTGATGCTTTTCTATATTTGTGAGAAGTTTTGTTAATTATTAATAGAGGCTCCACGGCTCTAAGTGTGGTCACTTTTTGGCATGGCGACGTAACAAAACGACTTACTCCTTTGGTTTTCCACCATCACCGCAGAGTGCCGCTTGTAGATCTCCCAGTACGAGTGTTTGGAGAATTCGAAAATCCAAAACTGAAAGAACTCGTTCATAATGACCTCCTGCCCTTCCTTTGTGTAGTTGACTTTGAGGAGCTCGTGTTGCACGTGACCCAAGTCCTCGGTTTTCATGAACATTGCCCCAGTGGGGACAATCACGGTGACCTGGTGTCCGCGCTCAATGAGTCTGGCACAAAGAAAGTCAATTATATAGATAAAAAAAAAATACGTGGTGAAGTGGCCAAGTGGCTCAGAGATTGGAGTGGCGAGCCAGCATTGCTGAGATCCGGGCTTGAAATCCAGGTAGCTGCCTTTGACTTAATCACATTCTCAAGTATAGTCAGTTCTCCTATAACGTGGCAGTTACGTTCGCGAAGAACACCGCGTTGTGGAAAATAGCGTTCTAATCAATGTAATATAATATAGCAGTGCACGATAACACGTGAGATGTGTCAACAAACTTAACAAAGACTTAGGCGCATCCCAACTTGTGCGATGATGCTACGCCGAGGCAGTCGTACAACCACGTATTCCTACTCTTTCGGTGTAGTTCCATTTACTCAATTTGCGTTATGAAAACACGTGTTATCAGAGAACAGACTGTATAGTGAGTTTATGGTCTCAGCCCTGTTATCAATTACAGAACGAAACACATCACGTTAAACGTAGTTCTCAATTCTAGCTCTGAAATTTCCAATATGAAAGGGTGTGAAGGAATTTTTATAAGTCATAAATAGGTTGCACACAGAAAAAGACCTGATGCATGCAGGCAGTGATTAGAAGGAAACTGGCACCATTTGAACAGTTGTGGGATTGACAACAGCAGGAAAAATGTAAAGTGTTGTTTGGAAAAACGGAAGGAACCGGAAAGAGAGGAAGACCTAACAGAAAATGGCTTGACGACGACATAAGAGATTGGTGCCAGAAAGATGTGGCATTACTTGAGCATATTGGTACAAGCAGAGGAAAGTGGAAACAAATGACAATGTGCAGTGGACACCTATTCGTGACGATGATGATGATGTAAAGGAATTTACTTCCTTCATACAGTCCGTTATTACTAGTCAGTTAGCCAGTCACTCAGTAAATACAATATATTACGTTTAATAATTGATATTTTAGGTCATTGCATAAGCAAAATTTTGTCGTAAACACTCCTCCTGACACAGCCAATTAATAAATGAGTTACATCGACATACGTGCCAATATACTTCTGCTTCAGCACACCGGTATGCTGGAGAGCAACCCACAATGTTTAACACGTGTGTGCAATGTTTCACTGGTAGTTAAAACTAGCATCATTAGGCAGTTACTAAATTGTAAAAATGTCCTCCAGTCTCGGGCCTTAAATAGGTGGTGTGATGTCAATAACGTGCACTCACAATGGAGCAGGAAGCGACTGCAAGTGATACCTAGAAGTCAATTAATTCACATCAATTTGTATGTTATATTAGCTGATACTAAGTTGATAGATAGGTTAATGTAAATACGTAAATACGTACCCGGTGAAAAAGGTTAAATATTATTAAATGCTCTATAAAATACCGGTGTGCTGAAGCAGTATCAACGTTTGTTCACCTGACAACTTTATTAATGGGCTGTGTTGGGTGGAGGAGGGTTTACAACAAACATTTTACTTATTAAATCTGATCCAAAGCTTGTTACGAATTCTAATATTGGGTGCAAAAGACTACATTTTAAATTTACAGTGCATCACTTAGCATAAAAGCAATCCATCAGAAGGTGTTTTTTTCCATCCGTGTAGATCCCACTCATTCTGTATTCGAAAGATGCCATATTTTTTAGGTGCAGAAACCATGACTTGATAGCATGTGTTACCCTACGTCTCCGATCTGATTAGAGACTGCTGCCAGTTATGTTGGTTAGCAATGGTTGCCCTGACATATCCCTCGTGGATCATGGCCTTAGGGCACATAGGCTAAGAATATGTACCGTACGTTCTGTAAAAAATCATTAACAAATCATGATCCGGTGTTCTCTCCACGTAAGTGTTCTTCACTAATTTTCAGAGGGGCCACTTTTGCTGATAAGACATCATCAGCGTGTGGGCCACCAAACATTTGAAACCAATGGGGGTTGACAGCAAGATTATGATGGAAGATGTTTTCACAGTTGTGTACTGTCGAGGGTCTGCACATCAGGGGCCGCATAAAAAGCAACCAGTGGCGGCCAGTGGCCCCACGGGTCTACCTACTCGTCCATGATGACTCTGATGTTCAACCAGTGACTCGCCTCAGCTGGCCACACGAGAACATTCCCAGCGTGTATGACTTGTGGAAAACCAGCGATGAGACAAAGGGATGTCCACACCAACAGCATTTTCTGCAGACAGAAATGTACATCAATACATTGTAATCAAACATTATTTAAAGCTTTCGTGACTGTAGGAATGACTCTTTGGTTATTTCGGTAAAGTCACGTAGAAAGAAAATCAATTAAATAATAGAATACGACGTTTCGATTACAACACAAGCAGTCGTCATCAGGTAGAACTAAATTTGAGAGAGAGACAAAACACAGACACGGAGACACACATACAGACACATAAGCAGAGAGAGACAAGACAGAGACACACAGAGAGAGACACACATAGAGACATTCTCTAAAATTACCAGGCTCTCATCGGTCCATCGCTCTTTCTCTCCCCTGGCCACTTCGGGGTGGATTTTCACACAACTCTCTTTCTATCCCCCTGCCGCCGAGTGGTGGATTTCCACACAACTCTCTCAAAAATGTACCAATCTTGCTGGGTCTTTCTCTCCCCCTGCCGCCGCGGGGTGGATTTTCAAACAGCTCTCTCATTGACATGCTAATTTCTCTGCTCCAGCAGACCCACCTCTCTCTCTGCCCCTCCCCTCTCTCTCTATTTAAGTCCACGACACAGAGGCATTGGGTCTCTGTGTGTATATGTCGTGTGTCTCTCTCTGTGTGTCTCTATGTTGTCTCTCTCTGCTTGTGTGTCTGTGTGTCTCCGTGTCTGTGTTTTGTCTCTCTCTCAAATTTAGTTCTACCTGATGACGACTGCTGGTGTTGCAATCGAAACGTCGTGTTCTATTATTTAATTTATTTTATTTCGTGGTTAATAACATCTTTCCAATGATTACTAAGTTTGTACCCATCATCACGGTTGAAATTATGTCTGTGTTTGTATATTTGTATGGCTTCGTGTACAAACCTTTGATGGTAGCCAGGAGGTTTGCAGAGAACCTTGGTCTCGGAAAAGACAATTTCATGAGAGCCCACTGAGTTGTAGCAATGATCGGCAACGGCCGAAGAATCAGTTCTGCCGTGTTTCAGATCTGACTTGTGCTCGCGGACACGATCAGCAACATGACGTTTCGTTTCTCCAATGTAGCAATCACCACAAATGCAACTCAATTTGTAGACTCCAGGATACTGTAAGTCAGGAACAGCATCCTTCACAGCATCTGATTCCATCTGTGAAGGATGCTGTTGTTATTGTGCACTGTACTATTGACCGTCGTGTGAAAGATACTAAGGTATAGGGTGGTTTATAGCAATACAGTATATAATTTAATGTTGGGTTTGTCTATGGCAGTATATAGTACGGTGTAGACTCGTGTGATGTAAGAGAATAAAGTTTAGATGGAAGCATATTATATAATTTTAACGACGTAGAATTGTAATGTATTACTTACTGTTAGTAACTCAGCTTATGGTAGAGTATAGTAATTATACTGATGATACTATGTAGTTTATACTTTAGTTGTTTACGTGTTGGTTTTAGTTACTGCAGCTACATACTATTAACACTCCTTCCCTTTATTAATGCTACCCCTATCCCCTCCCTTTGATGCTGAATTAGTACTATTCACATACCTGCATTTCCCATATCCTCTCCCTTTGATGCTGTTAATCCTGCATAATGCACATGCATATGTAGTACTAATCACATTCCTGCATTTCCCATAAATATGCTAAATTCATCTTGATATGCAAATTCATTTGTCAAGGCGCCCAGCTTATATATATGCTCCAAGCTCGTGTGCTGTTTCATTCAGACTGTCGCCTCGACACACCTGGTTTTCACCTGAGGACGGCTGCTTGCGTTGTGGCCGAAACGTCGTGAGAATTATTTTATTGTGTTTTATTTTTATTATTTTATTACTTCCCTTCTACGTGACTTTACCGAAAGAACCAAGAAGATGAATCCCTGCAGTCACGAAAGCTTTAAATCGAAATTCAATGGGAGGCTCTCCACGCCGTATTCAAACTTAATACTCAGCGAGTTACAAGAGTAGTTTTCAACCTTGTTTGGCGACAACTGTTTCAACCGAGTACCTCCTTGCCTGACCCAACATGGTTCTGAGAAATACATGTGTAGTGACTGAACTCTGAGACTCTAAGACTTGGAGGCACTTTTTTCTAACCGAGCACCCTTTGCACATACACACCCTATGCTGGTACACACTCTTCTGTCGCTCATTTATACACAACTCTACGTGGGTTGTTAGCCTATACACAACACTAGCCGTTTAACATTGACAGCGCTGAACAGAGACAGCCAACTATTGTCTAGCAGTGTAATATCGAGTTAAAACAACAGCGACGATGGCGACGAGACGACAGCAACGACGGCGACAATCTTCAACAGCACGACGGGGATTCCACTCCATACGACAGCCCCGAGCTCTCGCTCAGGGCCCCCTTTTATGCTCCCAGCAAGGCCTCGCTCCGCCCAGGCCACGCCCCTTCTCTAGAACTTACTAGCGGGTTACCGGGCTTCCCCCACGTGCCCCTTCTGTAACCTTTCCCCTAGATATCCCCTCTGGTGTATCACCTGGCCTGCTGATGTCAGGAATGCGGTAAGCCACAGATCCCCTTCCTTGCCAGCAGCCAGCACTATGCTGCTACATAGCTAATTATATGTCACTACACATGTGTAGTGGTGTATTCACACGGACACTGTCAGCTTTTCTCACTTTATTACTTTGGATCTCGCACAGATGCTCCTCACTCTTTACACAACATACTCTTGCTCCTAACCGCTCTCTCTTACTCTGCGAGCATGTTACTGAATATTCCGCTAGCCTGTTACTAAACACTCCACTAGCCTGTTACTTAATACTCTGCTAGCTTGTTACTGAATACTCTGCTAGCCTGTCAGCCTTCTCACACACCTCCAACCTCATCTGTGCCCCCAGCGGGGGATCAGCCAACACCGCTGGGGAGGACGAGGTATGAAGGGCGAGGTCCCAGGCTTCTTGTCTCCGGCTCTTGTCCTCTTCGTTCCGGCAGCTCCAACTTACTCAACCCCATGTTCTCTGCACACCCCTTTATATCCCCCTCCTCATTAATGGTCCTCAGTTGCTCCCTATTAAGCCGGCGCCTCGGCGGCGCCTCCTGCCCATGCTTTCTCTCCCTTATCGTCTCCATCTCCCATCTCTCCGGCGCCTTCTTTGTGTTTGCATGCCTGTCCCCAAATGCACCCACCTAATTACTGCTTCTCCCCTTAATTACTGGCGCCTCTCTGGCAGCTGTTGCATGTCCTAACGCTTGCACCTGCTCGCCCTGAAATGCACCCGCTGTTTGCAAACCCCACGTGTGAATGCATTCGCTGTTTTCAATCCTGCACGTGAATGCATACGTTGTTTGCAACCCTACGTGTGTTACGCCACAACACGTGTAATGACAGTACGGAGAGATAAAGGGACAGTATGGTTACTAATGGACATGCTAATGATGATTGATGGGACAAGCGTTTGACAGGGCCATGTGAGGAGGAGCACGGGATCCAATGGAGGGAAAGTGTAATAAGGGCGGAGATTGACAAAGCCAGGTGCGGTGAGGAAAATTCGAGAATAGGGGCATGGCCGGATCGGGCGAGGCATAAGAGCCAGCGTGAACCGGTCCTGGGGGCTGTTGCTGTGGGGAATCGCCGTCGTCGTCATCGCCGTCGCCTTGGAACGGGTCGTCTCCATCGTCTTCGAGTTGTCATGAGACTAGAAGCTATGTTGTCTCAGAATAGAGTCGTCTAACTACCCAAATGTATATAGTCATTTGTAGTTACTCGTTGAGTTGTCAGTGGACTTTATTCATAATAAATATATGGAAAGACAAGACGGTGTCTCTGGGAGCTACATTACACATGTATAAATAATTAACGTCAATATTTTAACCAATTGTCCATTTTGTGAGGTATCCTAACACGCTCGGAACTGCAAGCGAATAAAAGAAATGTCAACGGATGCTCTGCATGCGTGACGTAATTTGTTCCCGCTCGCTGGTTACTCTTGTAAACCGCATTGTTTACAATCAATGAGTTTAGAAAGGTCTTTTATATCGTTTCAGGTTACCATATTATTTTATGTCGGTAGATGCATACGTGATTAGTCACCAATGACTCACGTATGATATAATTTCAAACATTTATAAATACCCCCTGGGAAATTCGCACATACCCCCAGTGGTCCGTGTATCCCCAGTCGAGAACCACTGAGCTACACTGTGAGCGTCGCTACACTCCATATGCCAGGAGTGTAGATACACGGCAGTGTCATTCATATCAATAAAATGCTCACCACCTGCAATAGCTATAGCAATTTGCGCCTTTGTACAGCACTTGTGCACACTGGAGAATATAGAAAATACATATATACATCGACATGTACTACGTACGTTTAGAGTTCTTTGTGAAGCCACTGCTAGTTCAGGGCCACACCATACCATTGAAATATTGTAAAAGGCGCCTAATAAGTACAGATTATTATTACCATGTGCATAGTTCGTATATTTGTTTATCCATACTTCACCAGCACTGGTTGGTACGTAATTATCCTCGCGAGATTTATAGAATGTTAGTTTAACAGAGATATAGCATATGCGTTGAGGTAGGGGATTGTTGAGGAAGTGACGATGGATGGTTGGGTCGATGTGGTTATGTCGTGAGGGTGAGTATACTGTGTATGTGTTTGCACAGTGGAGAGCACAGGCTCGTGAATGACACTATGAAGCAATTGGAGGCAGTCGCCCTCCAACAACAACGGAGGACAGGACAGCAACGCTCACAGCAAAGAACAGAGTGCCGGCCGGCTAAAATGCAGCAAGTTATTATCCAATGAGCTATGAAAATCTTTTACACAGATGTCCAGTAGAAAGTTAAAGCAACACAACATTTAAAAAAACACGATAGGAGTGCAAAGTATAGGAAAGGTAAGCAAATCATAGACACATTGAATTAAACGTTTTTATTTAACTAGGTAAAGCCCACTATGCTATTAGCTTATTTTTCAGAAGTGACCTGGCCACAAATGACAGCTCAACGAAATTGCTTATCACGTGGAACTATATAGCAGCTAAAGACTCTAAACGCGTGTTTTTATGGCAGAAATACTAAAAGGAGAACGTGGATGCGAGTACTGTGGAGTAATTATTTTAGCAACTTATTATTAGCATTACTGTATTTATGTTTCATCGTGAAATTATCTATTTCCCATCAAATACGTGATTTAAAAAGGGTTTCTACATTGTTTTTGTTGTTATTTTCGTTTGCTGTAATTGTTTTAGATATATTAAATAGTTTTTAAGATTTTCTGCATTTTTTAGTGTGATTTTATTGAGGTTTTGGGGCCGATTTTTTAGTTGTCCGTCGGAACGCATCTCCATTTAAATAATATTCAGAATTTCACTTTACGGACAACTTTTCATTAACTATCTGTTTTATATGTGGAACAATACCTGTACTAGCAAATCATTTTTCTTTCTGTGTCTAAGTCGCAGGGCTATTCCTTCCTCAACCTGCTAATCCCTTATCCATTTCGATGACATATGCGTACGTATACGAAAAGCTAAGCTAAAATAACTTCATCGGTACCGAGGCTCCCACAAGGGCGTGTGGCACAGTTTGTCATCAGCTATTGTAGAGTCTGGCGGTCGCGTCGCTACGGGGCTCTCGGTGAGTAACAATTTATTTAATAAGTAATATTAAAACAACTTTTTTTTAAACACGCTTTCATGAAATGTACCGTACTAGTAATTAAAGAACTCCACGACTCCAGGAAGTGGCCCCGAAGCTTGCCATAACGTAAGGGACCGTGGCCAATTACAGCCAACGTCAGTTGACCGTGGACAATTAGAGCCAAGCCGAAACATAACATGAAAATAATGTTTTAAAATCTATGTTTTTTATGATAGAATATAGTATTGTCATCAGCATGACATAAGTATATCAAGTTTGCAGTCGATACCACATTGGGAAGTGGGTAAAAATTGAGTTACAAGATTTGAGGATACAACAACGACAACAACAACAGTCAGTGAGTTAATAAAAAGCGTGTAATAATTATTGAACCATGATGGTCCAGTTTCGCTGCTATCACAACACTCACGAGGGGATGGGGTGACCAGCACCACGCCCTGCCGCCTTTGTCTCCCCAGTGGCGATGTTTTTACATGCAACACCAGGTGCTCATTTGAATCTACCTAGGGGAGGCCCAGGACCGGTTTAGATAATCGTCACTGGTGTTGCGCTCAGTAAAAACACACACAGACACTGGAGCATGGCTTAACTGCACCCCAATATCTCATTCAGGTTGATAAAATAGTTATCACTCCGTGGATGTCAAAAATGGTCATTCTAGATAAGCTGGCCATGGCCATTGGTAGGCCTCGGCAAGGTAAGGTAATTTACCATTTTTACCGGGTAAAAGGGTAAAGGTAAAGGTGTCGACATGCCAAGGGGTAAGGTAAAGGGTAGGGTAAAGGTAGCTCGGAAGAATTACCCGGTAGGGTAAAGGTAGCGTGAAATATTACCCGGTAAATACGGTGCCTTGTTTACCGCTAAAAGCTCCGTGGTGCAGTCCGTGGCCTCCATTTAATAAGTAATATTTTTTAAAACTTTTTTTTTAAACACGTTTTTATTAAATGTACTCGTAATGGCAGAACTCCACGACTCCAGGAAGTGGCCCCGAAGCTTGCCACAACGTCAGGGACCGTGGCCAATTACAGCCAACGTCAGTTGAGCGTCGACAATTAGACCCAAGCCGAAACATAACAAATAAAATAATGTTTAAAAAATATATTTTTTTTATGATAGAATATAGTATTGTCATCAGTATGCCATAAGCAAACCAAGTGTGCAGTCGATACCACATTAGGAAGTGGGTTAAAATTGAGTTACAAGATTTGAGGATACGACAACGACGATAACAACAACGACAACAACAACGACAACAATGACAACAACAACGATGAAAACAAGCGTGTAAAATTGGAATAATCGAGAGTATTCTATATGAGTAAAGCGCTCTACCTAGCTTTAATCGTTATAAACCTTTGTCATGTGTAGTACCCCAGTAATTACCCTGTAATCGGGTAATTTGTATGGGGTAAGGGTAAAGGGTAGGGTAAAAGGAAGGCTCGTTGCTTTTTACCTTTTACCTTACCTGCTAAAGGGTAAAAGGTAGGGTAGAGTGGTTGTATTGTGGTAAGGTAAAAGGTAGGGTATAGGTAGGCTCGATGTTTTTACCTTTTAACTTTTACCTTACCTTGCGGAGGCCTAGCCATTGGTACGTTAAAACTTTCAACCATGGCTGCGGGGCATCAATGTAGGCATGCGCCAATCTACGCTCATATTGACAAGGGGATGATTTGCCTTTGATGTTTAAAGTGTTTATCAAGATCGTAAAATTCACATTTGTTGTCCTTCCCTCGCACATCAGATTACCATGGTTGTCTACGTACAGTGCGAAAGAGGTGCAACGGAGATACAGTACATACAAAGGTTTGACATTAACAGTTGAACATTTATTTAATCCAGAAATGCATGTGCATTACTCTGCAAGCCAAAGCGCAAGCTCTCTACTTACCCATGCCACATCAGATACTGAACAAACATACAACTCAGAGTTTGCCAACAGTGAAAGTTCATTAAATTAACTTTATTTTCCTTACCAGAATCTTGCGCATGAAGCCAGTCACGGGAATATACAGAACAAATCCTGACCTACAATGTGGTCAGGAAAAAAACACATGTTTTCCGTGATAGGGTGCGGCCAGTGCAAAGTCTATCAGGGTAGGGACAAAGTAAATTTTGACTTTGCTCTCTGCTCGATGTGGACATGTTGACACACGCCTGTGGACTGGCGTCTTGGATGTGGGATTTGGTGGGTTATGCACTGATTATGGCTCATGAGGTTGTATATTTTAAATAGTTGAGCAGAGCAAGTTATCCATTTTTCCGTGCATATTTTTAATTCTCATCTATTTGTACAAATGCTAAATCCAGGAAATGCCAAACACTGGGATTTTGCAGACAGTTTCCTGGTCTGCATGGAGGAAATACTTATACAAAGTCTGGACATCAATCAATATGTTTTAAACTTAATTGAGGAATTTTGCGCCTCTTGTGAAGCACAAATAATGAAGGCAATGCAGTGGTTGCTCAGATGAATTCCAACCACACAAACAAATTATAATGTAATTACCAACTATCTTAGATTGTGGATCAGGTGAGATTATTACATTGGGACCGATTTAAATTTCAAGGTAAAAACTATTGGTACTTGACAGGATGGTGCCGGAACTATTAAGTTGTTTATAGCAACACGTAACAGGAAATAACTGTTTTCTAGGAAGATCAATGTTTAAACACAATTGCTTCAAATCATCTTGTTTTATGGATAGTGTGAAGGAGAGAGCAGGAGATTTTGTTTTGAAAATAGATTGCAACTCCACCACTTGTTTTCAGCCAGTCCAACTTGAAGGGACCGGCTGAAAATTCGTTTACGAAGTTCAGATCATTCACATTTAATGTCAGAACGGCAGACAATATCGGAATACAAGTTGTTGAGTTTCACCTTGAAGAGCACAAATTTCTGTAAAACACCTCCGATATTGACTTTAACTATGTCAAGCCCTTTTCTATGAGAACGCTCTTGGAAGTTATACTAGTGTAATGAGCGACTTCCACGACATGTCATATAGAGGGTACTTCTTTTTTATTACTCACACTGAGCACAACACAGGCCAACACTGTTCTTCCTCACACTGAGTATAACTCTAGGTAATAACACGTTCACTGGCTACACGCACAGCCGATCACTCAGCGTGGTCCCCTCGCCCTCACTCGGCCATGCCGCTGGCTGGCGGCATGACGATGATGGCGATGGAAACCACGCAGGAGATCTTCCACATGGCCGAACGACGGAGAGAGATGTCGATGAACAGCGACACAGCCAGGACCCAAGACCCCACACACGAGCCCCGAGCTCTGGGTCCACTCCCCCTTATATCCCCCCAGGTGTGGCTAGGCCCCACCTCCAGCTATGCCCTCTCGTGGAACATTCGAGCAGTTTCTCGGAGTATCTCGGCTAACCCCACCTGTTACCTTTGCCCTAGATACACCTCCTTTCCTGATTGGTTGTTACTTCTGTGCCCGTACCCGTGAATGCCTTCCCAGGCCAGCAGGTGTCACCCTGTCATTATACTCGCAAACCATTAGGGAATCGGTGGACAATGCAAAATTACCTTAGTCATATTCGTATCCCTCCGAGGAGAAGAAATATGATTAAAAGCATCCTGTAATATTTTCTGAAAGGTATAAATGGCTTCATTTCCGACTATTTTAGGTCGACAACATCATGGGCAGTTCTGGCAAGGCAAATTTGATTGATAGAGTGATAGTACAGTGGGGTACGTGGACCGCTGGGAGTAAATGGGGGGTACGTGAGATAATTTATACATATGTAATGCGAGCAAGGACAGGGTGGGTGCTGCCTCCGCGCCACTCACACGGGCCGGAGTATTGCGGAGGCGGAGCCGGGTCGACGGGAGCGTGTGAGAGGAGCCACTGCTCACCTCAGCTCCAATGGGAGTCGGGGTGAGTGGGGGCGGAGACAGGGGCAGTACGGAAAGGAGGAGTCAGGGTCACGTGAGAAGGAGGATATAGGGTGAGAGCCGGAAGAGATCTGGGAGTTGGAAGAGAGTGGAAATAGGGGAGAGCCACGCTGGGTGGTGGCGGAGGAGTAGCGCCATTTGCCACGTGGTCGGAGTCACGGCACCATCGGCTAGTGGTGTACGTGGGGTAGCAGTAGCTAGCGGAGTGTGAGGAGCCAGTGGGGTGTGAGGAGTTAGAGAAGTGCGTGGGGCACACGGAGCAGCGGTGTGGCTGCGGAGTGTGCTGGGCACACGGAGTAGCGGTGTGGCTGCGGGGTGTGCGGGGCAATGACAGAAGAGGCGCGGGTCTGAATGTGGACGCCGCGGGGTGCGAGACAAGAACCCAATAAAGGACAAACGGAGACCTACATCGCCTAAAGAGTCATTTATTACACATGTGTGAAATTATATCATGTGAGAGTCATTGGTGAATAATCATGTTGTATGAATCTGCCAATATAAAATAACTATATGATAAAAAAAATATCCACATGGAAAAATAAAACGATGTAAAAGACCTTTCTAAACTAATTTTATTGTAAACAATGCGGGTTTCCAAGACTAATCAATGAGCACGAACAAATTACATCACGCATACAGGGCGTCCGTTGAATTTGTTTTTATTCGCTTGCAGTTATTAGCTAGTTAAAATACCTCACAAATTGATAATTGGCTAAAATAATCACTTTCATTATTAATAAATGTATTTCTTAGAACCACTTTGGGTCAGACAAGGTGGTACTCGGTTGAAACTAAACTCAACAATGGATGGGGAGGAGGTAGAGCAGGAGCCAAACAAGGTTGACAACCATTGCTCTTGGAGCAGTGCAGACCGCTCACGAGTTTGAAATTCCTGACGCATTTCCAGGGAATCGGATATTGCATCATCGGCAAGGTCCAGTCCGTCTGAGACCATGTCTCTATTGCCCCCCCCTCACCCTTCACCCTGCGGGTGGTGGGCCCCCAGGACAGCACCACGTAGCCATTTCGGACTGGGCCCCACCGGGTTACATGGGTCACCCGGCCAGCAGGCGCTTGTCGGTGAATACCACCCCCAGGATTGGCTCCAGCGGAGTGTCCTGGTATCCCTTGTCTTGGCGAGTCGAGGTGGTTCGGGTACCTGGTAAGGATGACCCTCCTACAGAGTCCCCCCTATAACACTACCAGGCACGTCCCACTGGGCCAGCCCAGGACAAGTTGGTGGGACTATGTCACCCGGCTGGCCTGGGAACTCGCCAGAAAGAGCTAGAGTCTGTCGCCAAGGAAAGGGAGGTCTGGACCACCACTACTCAACATGCTGCCACCGTGACCCTCACCAGGACAAACGAACAGCCATTGCACATACGTTCACCACTGTTATACCAGATCCATTGCAAAAGTCATGATACTGCTACTACTGTTGGTGGGTAATTTTTTTAGAAATGTGGATGAATATGTTCATATAAAAGCCTTCCCATGGTGCAAGACTGTAGATCTCTCGGGAGAGTACAGCTGTAATCCGGTCCAATAACTATTAACCAATTAATGTGGGAAAAGCTAAATCAACTATAATTACGAAGCATAATGGTTATAGACTTATTTCATGTCATTTCTGGACCATATGGTGAGATGAATGTACATTGAAAGGTGAATTAAATTCAGAAACAGCCATGTTATGTCTGTATGTGCTGCATGCATGATATTACTACTTGCGTACCTTTCATGTTCGTGAAAGGTTATTACGAAGGTCTTCTGACCTGTTTATATTATGCATTTCAGGTAAACCTACATTTGCATTACACCTTTTACCGATCAATATAGCAAGCAAGAAATAGTCGCTCAATGTTATTAAGGGACCCTGAGACAATTCAGAATCTGCATTTATACTACAGGAGGAATCCGATTATCTATAAAGCTCATTTTCACAATGTCTATTTGGGGCACGGGCTAAGAACGTTACAACATGATGGAATTGCGAGACAATAAAATTTGGATTCAGGTAGCATTTACATGCAATCAAATGTAAAGACGATGTACAGAAACAGCTGTTTCATAATTGTCAAGTCACACAACGCCGTCAAAAAGGACCGCAATCAATTTAATTTTACAAAAAGATGACAGTGACCCGGCTCCCGTCACTCCTTCTTGTCCTTCTTGGCTGCCACTTTGGCCGCCCTCCTGCAGTGGCAGCACAGGCGGCAGAGGAGGATGGGCAGCGCGAGGGCAAGCCCTGCAGCAGCGCTCAGGAAGGCCAACACGTCCAAGCAGTGCAGCTGATACCAGGCCAGTCGATGCGCCGCTGGGCGCAGGTGGCGCGCGTGGCCGTGACGCATCACGAACTCCAGCGCGTGAACCGCACGGTCTATCGGTCGCTCGGGCTGGTCGTGGTGGAGGCGCGAGAGGCGCTCCATGCTCTGCTGGTAGCTGTGGACATCACGCGTTGGAGGACATAAGCAATATAAAACTATGAAACTATGAACTAAACACATTTTTATTTTAAGAGGTAAGGTCCCACTGAGCTGTTACATAGCCCTTTTTTAGAAGCGACCTTGCCGCAAATAATAGCCCAATGAAGTGACTTATCACGTGGAAATTTGTAGCAGCCAAATACTCTTTAGGCACGTTGATCCATCCACAAGACAATGGGGAGAGAGACATGCAAACTCCAAATATACAGATATCAGGGTTGGGATCAAACCCAACACCTCCTGCATATCAGGCGACGCCACAATGGCAAACAGTTATGCAATAGACCGCGTAGTTATGGCCTTTTGTTTTTTATTTATTTTTTACAAAGTATATTTATATATGTTTACGAAGAATTATTGCAAATCTTTTTTGCATTGTGCTTATTTGTTTTAAATACAATGTGATTATATGCTTTGGCCAAGAATCTGCCCGGAGGAAGGAACCACAACACACATCTAGAATTTAATCCTAACGAATTGCCCCAAACCATTAGACCTGATACCCTAGGGGTTTTTTCACAGGCAGTCTATTGGTAAGCTTCGGTGCGCGAGATGTTAACTACGTCGCCTGGTATGCAGGGGGTCGTGGGTTCGATTCCGACCCTAACGCCTGTATATTTGGACCTTGTATGTCTCTCTCCCCGTGGTCATCTGGATTTTTCTCCGGGTCCTCCGGTTTTTCCCTCCACATTAAAAAATGCATTTATATTATTTTAATTATTTCCCTGCTATATATTTTCTTGCAATGAGTCACTTTGTTGAGCAATTATTATAAATTTATAATTGTGAGCTTTATCTGGTAAGATGAAAAAAATCTGTTTCATTTGTATATATTTTAAAGTTATTTGTGTACTTTTCCTATACTTTCCACTCCTATTGTGTTTGTTGTTGTAACGTTCTGACCCCGTGCCCCTTACTGGATATCTGTGAAAAATAACTTCATAGCTCATCGGATTCCTCCAGTATAAATACATATCTTGATTCTGATAAAGAAGCAGGGGAGAGGGAAATTGGCCCTTTTAACCCAGAACTCAGGGTCTTTATATCTCTATTATTTTCTTTTGTCCCTGACTTGGGTAAGCTGATGTGTGCTCTCTTACCTGTCCATTCATATCCACAGGACCCGGCCGAGAGAAGTTTGCAATTTGAAATGCGATTTGAGCACATACATGCATACATACAGAATCCCGATGAAGTACAGAACAACATCAGGAAATGTCTTGTGTTGGTGGTGAATTGCATCAACATTCAAATTCCCTGAAATTAAGTGGTTGGAATTGTATTACAAAAATGTGTGCCTGGGTGGTGTTTCTGTGTTTTTATGTATTGATCTTGTTTCGCACCATACATAGCCCACCGTGCTAATTGGAGGTGTGTTCAGCAGCCTTGGGGTCGGTTGCTTAGTATGGCCAACGTGCAGCGGGCACATGCAACACGCCAGTTTGGTTCTTAACAGCAGCGAGTAACTAGGAGAACGTAGGGGCGCCTCTGCAAGCCGAGTTATGCTTAACTGTATCATAGGTTAGCGTGGTAATGTGTGTGTATTTTGGACATGTTACAATTCGTGTCTGACGTTTCGCCTATAGCCTGATGAGGCTGGTTGTAATTACCAACAAAACGTCACGGTACTCGAATTGAAAATGTTGCGGATTGACTCTCCAACACACCGATGTGCTGAACTATAAACTAATTGGCACGTTATGTTTGCGTGACAAACCTTACTAATTGACTGTGTCGGGTGGTGGCGAGTTTAACGACGCATTTATATTTACGTGATCGAACCCAGAAAACCCCCTATAATGGCTAATATTGGTTGCGAAAGCCTCCATGTTAAACATTCAACGCAATGAGTGATACATGGTCTATCTTGATTTGATACATGTTCTGTTCTTGCGTATGCACCTGCTGTTATTGATGAGCAAGCCGAGTGCGTCTTGGATCTCCGGGGCAGTGACCATGGTTATGTCCAGTATAATAGCAACCCCACGCGTCTGTACTCTCAGGAGGTTGTCCTTCTGGTCGCCAAAAAGCGGGAAGCCGAGCATGGGGACGCCATGGTAGATGGCCTCGTAGACCCCGTTAGTCCCGCCGTGCGTGATGAAGGCGCGGGTCTTCGGGTGGCCTTTCACAGCAAGGGAGTATCACTGTTAGCATTAATGCACTCGTAAGTGATTAATTCGTTTCGATGTTAGATTTTTGGAGCAACACCCTTCGTAGAGTCAGCCACAATACCTACTATAATCACCCAGGAATGTCTGTCCTTAACGCTCGTGAAGTCACTCCACATAGACCAGCCCCCTCATTAAAATCCATCAGTTGGTGACGTCCTCCAAATGGACACCCACCGCCACCTCCCGCCCTCACTAATAATCATGAGTGGGTGACGTCCTCCAAATGGACACCCCCCCCCCCCTATTATTATTACCTACTATAATGAGCCAAGAATGTCTGTGTGCAATGCTCGTGACGACACTCCACGTCGACCAACCCCCCTCAATAATCATGAGCAGGTGACTTCACTCCACATCAAACAGCCCTCCATTAATAATCATAAGTTGACGTCCTTCAAATGGACACACCCCCCCCCCTCATAATAATTAGCGGCTGACGTCACTCCACATGGGGGGCCGAGGCGCCTCCTCCCCCCTCCTCAGCGTCAACATACAACCCTTATGTTACGCGATCTCCGTAATGCTATTGAGACATCAAGGTAAAAAAGACGTCATGATGAACAAGGGATTATAACCATAAAATTAAATAGATCTGTGTCACCGTGCCGTTACAAATTGCACATGCATCAATGCAATTAATATTACGTTGCGTTCTGCTTTTCGCTTGCAAGTTTCAGATTTACTGCAATACACCCTTCCTTGAACGAGCAAAAGGCGTAGTTTAACAAATTCACGTTAGAAGAGATAGTGCTTGCGTAAATAATACCAATTCACAGCCCCCTCCTGAAGAGAGGGGAGAGATGGTGCAAATGTCCTTCATGTTATTTTAAACACGTGGGCTTTCGTGACCACTATTATCCATATTAAAGGTTTTAATTTAGTTTTTAACCGTGTTTTCCTTTATGTTGTCTTTAACTGTGTGTTGCGGTCTGTGGCAAGTGAAGGTTCTGTTGAAATGTATTGTCTGCATAGGTGTTGAGAACACTAACCCTACTAACCGTTCGTATGTCCCAGATGGTGGTAACCAACGTGTTGACATCAAGATAGTGACAATACACTCTTAAATATTTTGTTGGATTATTTTCATGATAAATAAATGATTCAGATGGCCATCGGGGTATAATATGCTGATTTGATCAGCTCTTATTTATATTAGGGCACATTCAGACTTGATGTAAGTAAAATATTTAGTGGTCTTGGTTCCATTGCATTTGCGGGTTTAACTAGAGGTGTGATGCATGTAGCACCGCACCAGAATCTCCCTTAAAGTTGTTGAGAGTGGAAGATAAACCTCTTGAACTTTTAAAGTGTCTCAGTCTCGTGTTGTGTTATTGCCGTTGTGCGTACTTGTCACGACGTCACGCCATAAGTCATTCCCACTAAATAATTTGCAACGCCATTTGAGGACACACTCCGAGGTGTGTGTCCCCTTTCATAAACATGTCACGTGAAAATTAACAAATGTAATAATTTATAGAGATGAAATATCCCCGCAAAATGTCAATACAGTATTAATTAACGTAATGCACAAAAGCATCTGCAGTTCACGGAATCGACTGCTTTGGTAAGATGCAGCGGACCGCCTTCCTCAGGGCAACTAGGGATGGGCAATAAATGCTGATCCACCTGCGAGACACACCCCAAAGAACAAGCACAAACGTAACATTTATGTCATAAAAACACAATAAGCCATCCGTACTACAATAGGAAGTTATTCCAAGAACACAGGATGAGATGTTATTATCCTTTGTGCAAGCACTTCCAAGAGTTCATGAACAGTGAGCCTGGTGAAATTTGGGGAGCGCATCGTCAGTAGTGTACCTTTGGTTCCTAGGGTGTTTCGGCCTTTCACACTATACACCCTCCCCAAAGGCGGCCAGCGACAGGGTGATCAATCCTACGCTTGCGTCCCATTCCCAATTAGTCATAGGAGTTGCCTTGTTGTTGATAGCCAACATCCCATGGGACTATGCATGGCAGGGGCGTCCTCCTCCCTGAATGAAGCATTGTTGACCGCATACCTCCTGGCCCTCTCACTTCGGGGCCCAGCTGGGGTCTTTCCTCTTCATCCAGAGCCACTGACTGCTGCCTTCTGCCGCCTCCGATACAGCTCTGATTGCCGAACGCTGGCTCTGGCCCTTAATTCCCAGGTCTCTAAGCAGTCTGGTTGTAGATGTTGCCACATAACCTCTGCAGCCCACCTCCACTGGTCGGATTTCTGTGTTCCAGCCATGATGCCGTGCTTCGGCAGCTAGATCGGCATAGCGCAGATGTTTTCGCTCATAAGCCTCATCTACTGAGTCCTCCCAGGGTACTGTGAGCTCAATGATGAAGACCTTCTTGAGCGAACGGGACCAGAGCACCATGTCAGGTCTTAGGGTGGTGGTTGCGATCTCCGGAGGAAACACAAGTTGCCGGCCAATGTCAGCTAGCATTTTCCAGTCGCGGGCCAAGTGCAGCTGGTCTCGCTCTAATGGTGTAGAGCCGCTCTTCGGTGGTTTAGCCCCTTCGCGGACAAAGGTCGTCCGTAAGGGGTGTGATGCTGCTGGGGGTGGTAGGGAGTTGGTGGCAGCTCGCTTGTCCTCCAGGGCGGAAGCAAGGTTTTTAAGGACTTGGTTGTGACGCCAAGTGTAGCGTCCTTGGGTGAGGCTTGTTTTACACCCTGTGAGAATGTGCCTGAGGTTGGCTGGCATGGAACAGGGGGCACAGTCTGGATATTCACATACCATTGGTGAAGATTAACTGGTGTTGGAAGGACGTCATATGTTGCTCTGATGGAAAAGCTCAACCGCCTCGCTTCCATGGCCCACAGATCCTTCCAGCTGATCTTCCTCTTCTCCACACTGTCCCATCGAGATCACTGTCCCTGTTTAGCAAGAGAGACTGCCTTGGCCCACCTTGCAGCCTCCTCCTGATGGCATACTTCCTGCCGCTCTGGTGCAGTGGCCTTACTCCAAGCAGCACGGCTAGTTAGCCCAAGGCCTCCTCTCCATTGCTGAACATGACCCACAATGTCAGCATGTCTGAGGGCTGCTGTTGCCTCCTGGACTGCTTTTCCTGGCCTCCATTTGCGCCCAGTTGCCAAGGTCGGCGCATTGTTGCTCACCACTGGGTCTCGAGATTCATTCAGTGTCATCTGGAGCCTGGTTTTTGCACACTTTAATTCCTCTGTTAGACTGGTGAGGGGCAGCTTGAGGACACCATCTCCATAGAGGCCTATGGTGGTAAGGCATCGTGGAACTCTGAGCCACTTCTTTAAGTAGCCTGTGACTCCTCTTTCCATCTTCTCCACTGTTGAGATTGGAACCTCATACACTGCTAGGGGCCACAACACCCGAGGTAGGAGACCAAACTGCAGACACCAGGCCTTTAACTTTCCAGGTAGCTGGGTGTTGTCGATGGACTGTAGGCTACTACTGATGTCTTTGCGCAGCTGTTGCACCTGGTCTTTGTCCTTCAGGCTTGCATAATACCACCTTCCAAGGCTTTTTACCGGCTGCTCAGACACTGTTGGGATTTGGTCATCTCCGATGAAGAATTTAAGGTCAGAGAGTACTCCCTTCACAATTGAGATGCTGCGTGACTTGGATGGTTTAATCTTCATACGGGCCCAGCTGATGTTCTCCTCGAGTTTTCTGAGCAGTCTCCTAGTGCATGGGACAGTGGTGGTCAATGTTGTAATGTCATCCATGTAGGCTCTGAGTGGAGGGAGGCGGAAACCAGAGTGGAATCGCTGTCCACCAGCAACCCATTTTGAGGATCTGATGATAACATCCATTGCCATTATGAATGCCAACGGAGAAATGGTACATCCCGCCATTATACCTACATTCAGGCACTGCCATGAGGTGGTGAACTCTGAGGTGGTGAAGCAGAACTGCAGATCCTGGAAGTACGACTTCACCAGGGTTGTGATGGTGTCTGGTATGTGGAAAAATCTGAAGGCAGACCACAGGAGTTCATGGGGCACAGAGCCAAATGCATTGGCGAGGTCGAGGAAGACTACATGGGAGGTCCCTTTTCTCCACCTTGGCCATTTGGATCTGGTGCCAGATCATGCTGGAATGTTCCAAGCAGCCAGAGAACCCTGATATTCCTGCCTTCTGTACAGATGTATCGACGTATGCATTCTTTTTCAGGTACTCGGCCATCCTCTGGGCAATGACCCTAAATAAGATTTTACCATCGACATTCAGTAAGGAGATTGGGCGGAATTGGCTGATGTTCACTGGATCCTTCTCCTTAGGGATCAGGACCCCGCCTGCCCTACGCCACACTTTGGGTATTATCTTCTTTTGCCAAGCTGTTCTCATAAGCCTCCAGAGGAACTTCAGGACGTCTGGTGCGTTCTTATACACTTTGTACGGGACTCTAATTTGGCCCTGGGGCTGATGCTGTTTTTGCCCATCGAACTGTGTTTTCCACCTCTTTCCATGTCGGAGGGCTGGTCTCAATATGATGTTCCGGGGGTTCCATGGGTGGGATATCTGATGGGATGGCCAGATGTTCATGTCGCTTTGAGTCAAAGTTTGTTGTTCTCAGGTACTCCTCTAGGTCTTTCTTTGTTGTTTTTAGAGCTCCACTTTTTTCCTTCGTGAAGAGACTTTTAAGGAACTTGAAGAGATCTTTATAGAATTTAGTTCTAGTTTGTTCTTTCTTCCTTCTGCGTTTCTGTAGGTTCTCTGCTCTACGAAGGGATGCTAATCGGGTTTTGATGTCAGCCTGAAGTGCCTTTATGCCCTCCTTTTCCACTTCCGAGGCTTTCTTCCACTGTTTCTTAAGCTGTTTCCTTTCTTGAACGAGGCGCTTGATTTCTTGTTGCCTCCTGGAAACTGGTGGGGTTGGAACCTTTCTCCCGCCTTTTGCCTCTTGCACTCCAAAGCTTTCTGCCCCGTACTCATAGATGATGTCCCCCATCCTCTCCAACTTCTTCTCGACTGTGCCTAGAAGTTTCTCGAGGGTCAAGGTAAGGTCAGTATTCACTGTTTCCCACAACTTCTTGTCACTGGCGACAGGCCACTTCACATACGGTCTGTGCCCTGGTAGTCTCCTCTCGACTGCAGGTCTGGGAGGCTGGATGAGCTCCACTCCTGTTGTTGGTTCCACCTCACTTGTTACTTCGGTGCTTGAGTTTACGTCCTCCATGACAGTGGTACTGATGCACTGCAAACTATGGTTTGCATCCAGTTGCTGTGCTTCATTCGACTGATTTGATCGCTTTCGCAGAAAGTAATCAATGCGAGGCCTCTGTCTCTCTTTACCCAAACACCCCTTCTACCCCTGGTGGATCCTCAACCCATGGTGTGATGTAACTTTCCTCCAATCACAGACACATACCTGCATCTATTTGTGGCCCGCTGTTGCAGCGGAACTTGTGACAGTTGCTGTGGTGTTCTCTTGTGCTGTGCTCTCATTACTCGTAGTCGTTTCCGGTCCAGTCATTACCATGTTGTCAGCCGATGAGTCATCTTCCACCCCCGCTCTCGCAGACTCTAGGGGTATTCTCGTATGTTGACTTTCTGTAGCTAAAGCGGGTGTTTCCAACATACTGCGAAGCATGGCAAACTACAGAAATGGGAAGCTAATCCATGACTGTCCCAGTGGGGTCTATTCCCTCCTGTCAGCCGTCTCTCCGTGCCGCCACAAGGACTTTCCCCTGTTGTCAGCTGATCTTTCTCAGCAGTCACTGGACAAGTCCAGATATTCAGATTCCAAGAACACAGGATGAGATGTTACTATCCTTTGTGCAAGCACTTCCAAGAGTTCATGAACAGTGAGCCTGGTGATTTTGCATGCATTATGAATCTTCAAAATATGAATGTTCGCAATTTCCAAAGACAGCAACACGAATGGAAAATAACTAAGACTCATGTGCTTCTAAATATGTTTTGACATTGATGATACTGTCAGGCAACTAGAATCCCCGAATTAAAGGGCATAGATGGCATTACAGCACCACCTGGCCAGTTCTGATACAAGTGTAGGACAACTATATACGGTCTATAGATGCTGTGATGTAATATCATGAGCGTTCTACGTACCCAGCAAGTCGTTCTGTGGCAGCCAAGGTACCAGTTTAGTGTTGGAGCCCAGGGAAGATGGCTTCTCCCCCTCGTATCTCCATACCACCTACCAGGTCACACGGCGTCACGTCACACACTCCGGTTGAAGAGAAGAGGCTAACAAAAGCCTGATGCTCACTTTAATGAACATACATTTTCAATCTTGATTTGACTGCAGAAATCGATATTCTTTGGTTCTTTCGGTAAAGCCACGTAGGTATAAATAAAATAAATCACGACGTTTCGGGCGCTACACCAGCGTCCATCATCAGGTCGCTTTCCCACCTGACGATGGATGCTTGTGATGCGCCCACCTGAAGAGTAAAGATACATTTTATTTAAAAGTTACGACCAGTGTGCCATAACAGCACAACGGTGACATTGTGGTGACGTTGATAAAACAATGTTTAAAACACGTTGGTGGTGATTTTTTTGCATTGTGGCATTGGTTTAGAATTCTCTGCAGATAAACGTGATCCAGCTATGTACGTATGCATGTTGAACTGCTTTCGCAATGTATGTAGCCAACCGTGCTCACCAGAGTGTGCTGGGGGGAAGGAAAAACTAAACACTAAAAGTAGTTCCAAGCAGCTATATAATGCCCCTTTTTATTACACACTTTCATTGAACTTGTCGTGTGGTCTGTTTGTATCATTTCAAATATTTGACGCTTAATACAAATCTGCATATATTATCAAAGCATGCTGGTTTGCATGTTCACCACAAGTATGTGTGTATTGTGTAGACTTGATTCCTTCCAAAAGGTTTCCATTTTGAGTTTGCACATCTTAACACCTTTTTCAATCAGAGCGAGCGGATGATGCTGCCCAGCGCTGTGCTTCCCTCTTCCTTCGCGTGAGACCAACAAGTACGCAACACTAATTACTACGATTGCTATCCTTAACACAATGACATCCTTTGAATCGTTATGAATTGCGTTTCCATTTGCTTAGCAACGCCCCTTCTGACGGGCTGAGGGCAGCATGTGTATGCTCAAGTTGCGCACGCAGGTGAGAGCCGTGATCACGATTCTATTTAAATATTCTCATATCGCCATTGGAATCGGCAAATTAGGACTGCTGATATAACTACTTTAAATTGAAGTGCCCTCTCTGTGCACGTTGAATACGCTGTCACGATATATACACTGCTGTACGTATGCACGCATTGTTTTAACATTGCTGTCCATGTGTATTGCCGTCTCTCCTACACTGCAGTACCTAACGATCGCAAAGACGACAATTAAATGCGCTATACGTCTCGCCTTGCTCAAAATGTCATTTAATTCCACTGTCATATGGCAACGTGCACGCTTTCAGTTGCTCGATGTTCAACTTCTCGCATAGGCTAGCCATCGTTGCCATCGAAACATGCTCATGACAGGTTTCTTTTTTTTCACTTTGTGCGCAATCGCCAGTGATTGTTAAACATAGCCCCTGTCATTGGAATGTGGAATGCCCGTAAGAGCATATATATTCTGTCATTCCACTGCTGGATGACGGCCTCCACACGCCGCGCTGGTTGCGGAGGCCATTTGACCATACTTCGCCCGCCACTGGTCAGTGCGGATCGATAAAGGCGGGCAGCATAGACGTATAGTACGACTGCATATAAAAAGTCTGCATAAGACACACAACGTGCCCCCCGCAGCCCAATAACAACCTGCTTGTGCATGGTGGGCACCCCTCCAGCCACTGTCCCTGTTCAGATCTGCTTTACTTTTGAAGTCTCAACAGATCCGCCACATCCCAAGTCAGGGTGATTCATTCGTAGACCTCGAGGGTTACAGCCTTGCTGTTTTTCACAGTTAACATGCGGTGGCAAAGTATTTACCACCTTGCCTGGTATACAAGAGGTCCTGAGTTCCATCCTAACTTTGACGACTACATATAGGCCATTTGCATGTTCTCCCCCTGTAGATCGCATTTTAAATTTTCATAAACTAAAGACGAATACTACTTCCATTTCTTTGCTGCACTTCAACTTTACATAAGCTTACTGTATGCAAATGACCAGACTTTATGTTCAAGTGTTTACTAAATTCACCACTGTGGGATTAAACACGTTAAAAGAAAATTGTTTAAAAAAAGTTTACAATGCACTCACTTTTATTTTCACTCCAAAGTAGAAATTACATTTTTTGACCCCAGAATTAATCAAATTTGATGTGCTGAATAAAAGTGGGTGGCTTGCATAAATCAAGTTAAACATATCGAAAGCAAGCCACCCACATTAATTCAGCACATCAAAGTTGACTAAATCTAGGGTTTGCGCATTCAAAAACTTGTTTTTGCCAAAAATAAATTCCCACTACTGTGGGTATGGATTGTATTTGTATTACCTTCTGTGGGAGCTGAGCCAGTGCAGAGGCGATCAATTCAGCCCTCTCCATAGGCATGTATTTGATCATGGAGCCCAGCGAGAACACAATGAGGCCGTGCTCACCCGAGCTCTGCGCAAACTCTTCAAGGTCCTGAAATCAGAGCAAAAACATGCAGAGTTACTTGATAGGAACCTCTATAGAAAGCATAATAAGTTGTTTGAGTTAGATCGCGTAAGTATAAATGTGTCGTAACCCGCGACCACCCGACACAGCCAACTAGTAAGGTTTGTCACATAAACAAATGTGCCAATTAGTTAAGAATAAATCTTAGGCATCACATGTGGAAGGACTGCAGCTGATCCAAATTATCTTGAAGCAATGTCTAGGCCTCTAGACCATACAACAACATTGACAAAACACAGCACTGGTAGACTCTTTATTTGGTGCCCAGACGTACTTGTTTCTGGGATCAACTGCGGTTCAGACCATTATTCTTGAGGCCAGGCCAATCCAGCGCATGATATCAGGTCTAGATTGTCCATCTGTGCAAATTCCAGGTCGAGATATTCCTCCATTGGTTTAACAGTGTTGCCATTGATTACGCAGGGTACTTCTGAAGGTCCGGAGCCCAAGTGCTGGACTTGAGTTTTTCTGACATGAAACATTTAGTCCCATTTTTTTTATCCTTTATATTAAGTTCACTTGCTTGCTTGCGCGCTTATGACCGTGCAAATCTTTCGGTCGTTTTTTAACCCACTTCCCGTGATCCAATCGAGCTGACATTTTGCACACAGACTCGTTGTGCATGACAATGTATTTTCGTGAAATTTTTTTTTCCAAAATGTTACACTTTTTAGGATTTTTTTTTATATTTAATTGCCAATTGCTTAATGGTGGCAGGCAATCATCTGACCCATAGGTGGCAGCCATCTCAAGCCAGACGACGAGAGGACTCTAGCCGCCACGCATATAAAGGATTTATAGTGAAAAACTTTGTTTTTACGGGTTAATTTTTCTCATGTTGTTGAAATGTTGGTGAACTGCTGTGAACGTTTCAGACTTCTAAACAAACAAGACTGCATCATCACCGTTGTCGGGGTCAGTGAAGTGGTGCCGGCCAATCCTGACTCCAAGGTCGCGGGTCATGTTGTCAAATATCCATTTGATCGCCCAACAGAAGAGCACCAGTGCGAGGATGCATCCTTGACACATCCCAGATATGACCTCGACTCAAACCCTTGCGTTTGTGCCTGCATTCTGATCTTTTACAAGGTCCGGCAGGATGCCTGGGATCCCAATGCCTCTCAAGGCAGACCAGAGATCGGATCAATCCACAGAGTAAAAAGCCACCTTCAATGGGCGGTCAGTGCAGTTCTACAAGTAGGCAGAGTGCCAGCACACCATCCATCGTAGAACAACCAGATATGAATCCTGATTGCTGTGGGCGCTGGTGTTTAGTCAGTAGTGGTTGCAACCTGCCCAGAAGTACACGTGTAAAAACCTTTCCTGCTACTGGAGTATCTACGTATGTATGTTAAACTGTTTTACCTGGAGCATGCCATTGAGAGATGATCCCTTCACATCAGCCCAGTTCCACCACGACATGGATATTACGCTCATGACGAGCAGCAGCATTTTTTTATTGGCTAAACAATGCTGTATGGAAGCTTCCTGGCTTATTACTGCATATGATGTTTGTGGTCTTAGTGGCTCCATATAAACCATTTCTTTTCTATGCTTGTGAAAAGTAGACCTCCTTTAAATTAAGAATTGCCCTGCCTATGAATTATCCTGAGTTTAACCAGACTATAATCTGTGAGGACCTCAGAAATCATTGAAAGATCTGACCAATACAATGGGCTCCTCTAACAGGTGAACCTGCATAGGCTGAGTCATGTAGCCCACATGCATAGCTACCACATACCCAAGCACGTTTCTTTTTCCAAATATAGGGAGCCTAAATAGGTATTGTATCAGCTAGAGACGAGGTCGGCTGATATTGTAGAGAAAGCTATGGAGCTGATTAGATTTTCTGATGATTGTTACCAACAGGGTCGAAATGTATATACAGTATGTTGAACTTCTTTCGCATTGTGCATAGCCAACCGTGCTTATCAGAGGTGCGTAGGAAGGACAGAAAACTAAACACAAAAATCAGTTGTAAAGAAATTAGTTTTCAAATTAGAAATTAGTTTTCAATTTAAAGATAGTGGAGATATATGTATATTATTACTACATGCCGTTACGGGATCCTTTCCCTTTGTACAGATACATAATTATACTGTCTCTCCAATCAGCAGGTGCCTCTCTGGACATCCAGACCGTGATGAAGAGCTGATGTAAACCTCTGCTAATAAGATGCAGAGCACCTTTCAACAGTTCTGGAGAAATACCATCTCGCCGAGCTGCTTTATCATCATGAATCTTCATGATGGCATGCTGAACTTCCTCTGATGTAGAAGGGTTTGTGTTGGTTTCACAGTCGGAATCCGCATTGATTGCTGATGCAGTGTCTATGAATGGGGGACAAGCATCTGCTGGTGGGTGATTTAACACTGGTGCATGATGCTCAGTCCATTGTATACGGAATTCCTCCACCGGTGACCATGCAGAGCCTTATAATTTGGTGATGGGAGCCATGGCAGTATGTCCACCCTTATGTCATTGTGTAACAGTCCCGACTCAACTCCAAAAGCCAGTGAGTTCAGATACTTCTCTTGGTCAGCTTTTGCCCGAGCTCTGAAAATTCCCTGAAGCCTGCGATGTTCCTTGGTGTTATCAGTCTGCCGTGCATCTGCCTTTTGTTTTTAAACCTCTAAGGTGGAATCGGAGAACCAGGTTGTATGAATAGGCTTTTGAGGGACTACCATAGCTTAAGCAACCAATGTAATCGAGTCTCGTACATGGCACCAGGCACGTTATATATCAACGTCATCTGGTGAAAAAGTGGAGGCTGCCAAACGAGGCACATCTGTCCTGGAGAATGTATCAGCAGTATCGTGGCTGTCCCTGAGCCTCTGGACATCATTCTGCTTTTTGGCTGAAGATTTTCTGGGTATTGATAGGTGGAGGTCAACTCGTATTACAGCCAGGCGGTGGTTGGTGTTAGCAGGTGCCTCCACTCCACAGCAAAACCAGGTACGACTCATAGATGGTTCTGTCCTTGGTCAGGATATTATCTATTTTTGTTTTATTATTTTGAGATCTAAGTTTGGCTGTGGATGCTCAGTCTACGATACCATGAGTCGACAGCAGTGAGGTGCTCAGATGAGCAAAAGGACAACATCTGGCCGCGTTTTCATTGGCAATCCTAGAGCCAAAAGGCCCTATGACCGATTCTAAGCCACTGCGGTCATTGCCTGTAGCGACATTTAAATATCCAAGGATCACGATTGTGTCATGCTTTGGAATATAAAATAGCAAACCACTTAATTGGTCATAGAAGTGGTTTTATTCATCAGTTGGTGCATATACAACAATGACCAACAGATGTCCATTTCGATGCTGCATTCTGGCCAGTAAAGTTTGTGGTGAGACAGGTGTCCATGTTACAAGGGATTTGTTGAGAGGCGGCTCGATGATAAGTGCGACCCCCACAAACGTGATATTGACTTCCAGAATGCAGGATAGTCGTGTCATTGACGATGGCTTGATCACTTTCTATGAGTCTGGCCTCAGTGATATCGGCAATTATGATGTTATATGTTTCCAGTTGGTGTACAATAGTGTACGATGGCCTCCTGGTATCTTGTCCCATTCATGGTGAGACACCAATCCGGAATGTTTCTCGCAGGTTTGGCTTGACTTTCTTTGGTGTCCTTGCTGGTAAATCCATTGTGGCATAAACCTTACCCAGTGGTGGCTTTCAGCTCGACCAGTCATCTGAGCATTATCTGCTCGTTGTCTGCAATGGACACGGTTTAAAATAGGGGCTGAAAACCGGGTGCTGTAAGGTTGTTTTTGCATTTTTAAGTTGTTAGGTTACCCACAATGCTTTGTCCCCAATGGGTAAGAGCGCAGTAAAGAAAAAACAGATTTTCTGTTGACCCAGAGAGCAGAAAATTCTGCCCAAGATCATAGAGGCACTGCTGCTGCCCCATGTCCACAGCCATTGAGGATGCAAGTACCCACTTCTGCCTGTTCTTCAGTTGCCGGACATGTGGCAGAGCCCCGTCAACGAGGGTATTATCAGGGTTCCTAACAGGCCTTCACGGAGTCGAGACCTCACCGTACTTCACCCTGTTAGGCTGTACCTTGGCAAGATGTTAACTACTTCCCCTGGTATGCAGGAGGTGTTGGATTTGATCCTGACCCTGATGCCTGCTGTATATTTGGAGTTTACATGTTCTCCCCGTGGTCGAGTGGATTTTTTTCCTCAACATTCAGAATCAACGTGCATTTAAAATGTATGGCTGCTATAAATATCCCATGTGGTAATAAGCCACTTTGTTGAGCTATCATTTGTGTGGCCAGGTCACTTATGAAAAATATATTTATAACTCCGTGGGGCCTGGTATATATATATAAATACGTGTATTGTCAACGATTCAGAGACAGTTTCTAGGAGGCACTTTCGTTATTAGCAACTTCCACGGTCTCGCCTGCACACTTTCCGCAGTAGCTTAACCTAACCTGTACAGAACACGAGCCGTCTAACACTGACGGCACTGACTAAGATTACCAACTACTATCCTTCGTAACGCAATATCTATCAGAGACGTTTAGCGACGACGGCGACGAGATTACAGCAACGACGAGACGAGTCCATTCCCAGAACTGACAGCCCTGAGCCCCCACTCTCGACTCCTTTTATACTACCAGCACAGCCTGACTCAGCCCTGACCGCGCCTCTCTTCTTGAACCTGATAGCGGGTTCCAGGGGCCTCCAGGTGGGGTCCTTCGTGACTCTTGCCCTAGTTTCTCTGCTCTGCCAAAACACCGTGCTCATGCTCACCGGCGTGTGTACTGTCTGTCCACCACAGCTGCCGTTGCTGTCCACCAGCCAGCGCTTTTACACTATACATGCATACCATTGCCCAGGTTCGACGATGTGGACAGGACGATGGACTTTTGGAGCCCAACATTGAAAGCTAAGATACAGTTGCTGCCCTTCGCACTAGGTCTGTTCGTTTCCTTGACGTCGCCAGCCACTCAACCCACAGCTTATTTAAGGTGCGAATGTCCTTGCTAAATATTCACAAAAGCATTCCACCATAACATGGTGTTGAATATTTCAATTATTTTTTGTGATGTGATTCTCGTGGTGCATCTGAATGTATTGGTATATGTAGTGGTGTTTCTTATTCAATTGGTGTTATGTATATGATTTTTGTTATCTAACTGGTGACATTATTAGTGCTCCCGATGTGGTGCTGAGTATGATGTTGATAACCGCGGTGTTTTTTGGTGATGTTGCTGTAGAATAAGCTATTGCTTCGCGTAACTTGCCTCGGGTAAGGGGTTTGCGGGCTTGCAGTGGAGCCCCCCGACAAAGACAAAATTAGGAGGGAATGGGCGTGGAAAGTCGAGGTCCCAGTTGTTCCGGATGAGCCAGAACTCGGCACCACTCATCACCTCACAGATTGTTGTACCTTCTCCTGTGGGGTCAGAGTTGGCAATGTAAGCGGGTTGTCTTTTATACCATGAAATTCTAATTCAAGAAACAGCCATTTCAGCACTTTCTCACAGGCAATTACACGCAAGTGTCACGATCTTATGTTCGTAAAAACATATTTACCTAAAATTGTTTCCGTAAAAATCTTAAATATTAACTCCTTCAGTATTTTAATCTTATATATCGATTTAGAAGTGTCCTTTTTCGACAAAAATGTAAACGTTGGTTAAATACACACTTACCAAGCAATTCAGCGTATATTCTGTTTGAATTGTTTCCATCCATCAATATATGGATCAAGTCACTGAGAAAATACATCACAGTATTTTGCACTCGTTGCCAGAAGTGCATATGGTCCGGGAGATTAGACACTGGCATGGGCACGTAGGATGGAGGCGCGGGCATCGCCCCACAGTAGCGCTCGATAATGTAGCTCGGAGTGAAGCGCAGGGAGTAGACGTAGGGAATGCCCAGCATTAACGCCAGTGCATCACCACAGAAGGCGATGGGGTCAGAGAGGAGAACGTCGAACTGGCCGTCTCGCAGACGAGAGATCAGGCCCTTGTCCCGTTTCAACGCCATGCACGTGTCCTTGGTGTCTGTGTGAACGTGCGTGTGCAGATATGTAGCAGTTCTCGGGCTTGCGCGACGCATCCGGCGACCTGAGTTCGATTCCCACTGGCGGCCAACAGTGACAATTATCTAAACCAGTCGTGGGCCTCCCCTAGGTTAACTCAGCTTAAAACAAGTACCTGGTGTAGTGGATAAACATCACCACTAGAGAAACAAAGATGGCCGTGCGTGGTGTTGGCCACCTACCCTCACGTGTGCTGTGGCAGCCTTTATAGGTGCTCGCTAGCAGCACTTGTCCCAACAGTCTATTAAGGCTACACGGGGAATCCTTGTCTTTTTTTGTCTTTGTGCAGATATGCATACATGGTTTACGCTAAACAAGAGACAAATCATTATTAACTCTTAACTTTATATTTTTTGTTGATTTTGAGAGACCCACATTTGCTATGTATTGTTATGCCGGGGAATATTGTTTGGGTCTTTCTCAGGACCCTTCCTATTGTCACTAAAGCTGAAGATTCACAAAAACAAACGTTAAGAATCTTAGCACACAGATCACCAACACCATTTCACCAAAGTGTTGGCAATATTGGTTTATGAAATATACATGTTTTTTTTGTAAATTATAACACAATTATAAGACTTATCAAGTCACATTTTACAAAAAATAATCCGTGTCAACATGGGGCAACTGCATTGTGAATCCTATAACTTACCATTCACTATGGAGGTGAGACTAACCAAAAATCCACCAAAAATATTTCGAGCCGATTTCGGGAAAATATTTTATATGGGAAGCACAGCAGGTGAATAGCACCTTCATTGATCCGCGATTAATTCCCTGATTATAAAAAAAAAATTCTCAGACCTAACTTGAGCCAATCTTCCACATGGTCTACATTTGAAATATATGTATCAGTATAAAATCAACTAAAATGTGTGCAAATGACATAGGTGTATCTTTATGCAGCCCCACGTATCATTTTTGCTTGTCCTTCTGGAGCTCCGCTTGTCTCTCTAGATATATTTTCACATCTTTGTCAACATGCGTTAATTTTGTGGATCTGCAGCTCCATATTTCTCCCTGTAGCTGTTTGTCTATCTGAAGCTCCGTGTCTCACGAAAGTGATGCCTCACAAAGCATTGTGGAACCAGAGAGAAAGGCGCAAGTGTGTAAGTATTTAGAACTTCTTTTGCACCGTACATAGCCAACCGTGCTAATCGGAGTTGTGGGTTAAGGACAACAAACTAAATGTAAAAAGCGGTTCTAAAGAAATAGCTCCAGTGGCTTCCTAATATAGGAAGGAAGAGCGTTCCAGACAACCACAGAAGCACATCTCAAAGTGCGCAATGCGGTGACCGTCTTTGTTCGATGTGAAGACTTCAGCAGGCAAACCTTGAAACAAAGAAAGACGAGTCCCATACTGCCTGTGTGCAGGCCGTCTCTGCACAGTACAGATGTCCTTAGCAGACGGTCCTCTTTGTGGTAATTTTAATCGCTATTTTAAACAGATCTAACCACAGTTGTTGAAGTCGCTGTGGGGGTCGAGGGCCTTCATAGCGGCAAAACTGCTGGGGTGGACGAGATTTGCCTAGAGTTGATAGAAGCGCTGGATAGTGTAAGAGTGTCGTGGTTAACATGCCTCTTCAATGTTGCATGGAAGGAGGGTACAGTACCTCTGGATTGGCAAACTGAGGCCGTGGTTCCCAATAAAAAGGGGACCAGAGGATGTACTCCAACTACAGAGTAATCACACTCCTCAGAATCCCAAGTAACGCTTATGCCAGAGTGCTGGAGAGGAGGCTACACCCGGTGGTCAAACCGCAGATTTAGAAGGACCAATGTGGATTCCGTCATGATCATGGAATAATGGACCAGCTCGTTTTCCTCTCACAGATATTTGAGAGATCATGGGAGTATGCTTCTCCATCTTCTTGGTTCTTTCGAAGATGAATCCCTGCAGTCACGAAAGCTTTAAATCAAAATTATGCTTCTCCAGTTTACGCCTGCTATGTAGACTTGGAGAAAGCATATGACCGTGTTCCCCGCAATGTCTTGTGGGAGGTGCTGCGGGAGTATGCTGTACCGGTGCCGCCTTTGTGTGCTATTCGATCCGTGTATTCCCAGAGTGAGAGCTGTGTCCCTATTCTTGGTGTTAAATCAAAGTCGTTCACTGTTGGTCTTGGACTCCGCCAAGGGTGCGTCTTGTCTCTATGCCTGTTTGTTATTTTCATGGACATGATTTCAAGGCGCAACCGAGGTATGGAGATCATCCAGTACGGGGGCATGGAGGTGACATTGCTGCTTTTTGCAGATGACTTTGTCCTCTTTGCCTCGTCAATCTGTGATCTCCAGCATGCACTTTAACGGTTTGATGCCGAGTGTGAAACGGCTGGGACGACGATCAGCACCTCCAAATCTGAGGTCATGGTTCACTCGCAGGAGATGGTGGATTGTTCTCTCCAGTTGGGGGGGAACAGCTGCCCTTAGTGGAGGAGTTTAACTACCTCGAGGTTTCTTTCGCGAGTGATGATAAGTGGGAGCGGGAAATTGGCTGGCAGATTGGTGTGGTATCCGCAGTATTGTGGGCACTGAATCGTTCTGTGGTAGTGAAGTGGGAGCTGAGTTCTCGAACAAAGCTCTAGGTTTACAGGTTGATCTACCTTCTCACCCTCACTTATGGTCATGAGCTTTGGGTAATGACCGAAAGGATGAGATTGCGGGTACAAGGCACCGAAATTAGGTTTCTTTCGTCAGGGTTGCAAGGCTCACTCTCTGTGAACGAGTAAGGAGCTCGGTAATCCAGGAGAGCCGTAAAGTCAAGCTGCTGCTCCTCCGGATCAAGAGGAGCCAGTTGAGGTGGCACCTTGTAAGGATGCCCCCTGATAGAGTCCCCCTGGAACTATACCAGGCAACATGTCCCACTGGGCGAAGACCCCAAGGGCCGGTCCGCTCGTGGGAATAATTGGGAATTTCTCAGGAAGAGCTAGAGTCTGTCGCCAGAAAAATGGAGGACTGGACCGTCCTGCTCAACATGTTGCCGCCGCGACCCTCACCAGAACAAGTGGATTGAGAAACGAACAAATTAACTGTTTGGCCTACACCAGAGACAATACAACAAAACAATACAATACTCGCTGGCACAGTATACTGCAGATTCCTTTGAATTGCATTTTTGGAGCATAGATTATTCGAGTCCTGCTGTAGTTATTTTACACGTGACATTGATTGTGAGGAAATGACGCAAAGTTGTATACCAGGAGGCATGGCAAGAAGAAGGAATTGACCATAAATTCCAGAAAATCACCGTGCATCAAAAAAAAATGGAGACTGTGATGCGTTCCTAAATATGTGGCGTTATTTTTTTATTATGACTTACTTTTTTAAATTCCACCATTATCGCAGAATGCCGCTTGTAGATCTCCCAGTACGAGTGAGTGGAGAACTCAAAAATCCAAAACTGAAAGAACTCGTTCATAATGACCTCCTGCCCTTCCTTTGTGTAGTTGACTTTGAGTAGCTCGTGCTGCACGTGGCCCAAGTCCTCGGTTTTCATGAATATCGCCCCAGTGGGGACAATCACGGTGACCTGGTGTCCACGCTCAATGAGTCTGGCAGGAAGAAAGTAAATTATGTTATTTAAACAACAAAAAAGACGTGGCGAGGTAGCTTGTATAGATCGGAGATTACAGTGCCAAGCTGGCATTACTGAGAACTGGGTTCTAATCCAGACAGCCTCCAGTGATTAAACCATATTCTCAAGTTATAGTGAGATGGTCTCAGCTGCGGTCATTAATCACACAAAAAAATCACAGTTAAACATGTCTAAATTCTATCTCTGACAATTCAGTGCTAAGAGTACATAATACGGAAGCGTGTGTGGGAAACGACTGCCCTCCGTGATGTGTACAAAAGGTAACTTTAAGACAGTGGTTCTTCACCTGGGGTGCACGCAGCCCCTAGGGGTTCAAGACATGCCAGATTGTTGTAGAAGCACAAATTAGACACAGGCATGTATGTACAACTACTTTGTTTCATCAAACCTATGTATAAACATTATAATGGTTTAACCATTGAGATGATCATATGACAGCACTTTACCCATCCGCACTGATTCTGAGATAATTTTGATAATTTTGCTGCTATACATTTCCACTTGATAAGCCACTTTGTTGAGCAATAATTTGTGGCCAGGATGCTTCTGAAAAATAAGTTAATACCTCCGTGGGTTTTACCTGGTAGGATACAAAGTTTAGTTTTGTATATTTTAAAGTGATTTGTTAACCTTTCCTATACTTTGTCCTCCTAGCGTGTTTTGTATCCTTTGTTGTAACGTTCTGACCCGCCCTGACTGGACATCTGTGAATTAGAACTTTATAGCTCATTGGATTCTTCCTGCAGTATAAATAAATATTCTGATTCTGAAACAAACACCCAGAACCCGCACAGCATAGGGAGTCATCATCCATCAGTGAGTGACACATATATGTAAATCATTTATATATGTTAAATAATGGACTATGTCCGTATACACACGCGTTCCTCACCGCCGCCGCATGTTCCATGCATGCCATTATCCATTCGGGAAATTTCAAGACAATTATTGTCGGCAACCATCACTGGCAATGCATTAAGCATGAGCGATGGATTGGAACGACACGTTACTTTCTAGTCAATTAAAGCTAGGATGCTGAACAATGATTGGTCTACAGACTATAGATTAACCTGGTGATTAAAGATGGATCAGACCTAGTCCTAGTCACTAGTTAGCTAACAGACATTATTTGCTGTAGTCCATTATTACGAGTCACTTAGCCAATAACTTAATTTATGCCAGTGGTTCTCAACCGGGAAATGATAACTCCTGGGGGTAGGTGGCCATGTCTCAGGTGGTACGTAAGGTGATTTATAAATGTGTAAAATTATATCATGCATGATAGTCATTGCTCAATGATTATTGATTCATACAACATGATTTAAATCATACAACATGATTAAAATCATACGACATGATTGTAATCATGTTGTATGAATTTTCCAATGTTAAATAACTACAATAAAGATTCAATCCATATGGTAACCTAGAACGATAATAAATACCTTAATAAACTCATTCATAGTAAACAATTCGGGTTTCTAATAGTAACCAAAGAGCGTGAACTAATTACGTCACGCATGCAAAGCGTCCGTTGATTTATTTGCAATCGATTTCAGATAATAGCTAGTTAGGATACCTCAATGGACAATTGGTTAAAATATTGACGTTCATTATGAATAAATGTATTTCTGAGAACCATGTTGGTTCAGGCAAGGGGGGAACTCGGTTGAAACAAAATTCAACAAGGGGGGTACAATAGTAGCCAAAAAAGGTTGAGAACCATTGCTCTAGGCAATGCTTTGATTTTCAGAAGCGCAAACAATTAGAAGGTGTTCTGCTCCATCCGTCTATATCCTCTCAATTTTATTTTCATGCTGTAGTGTCTGTCCCTGATACTATTGAAAGTTGCTGCCCCGATTGCCCACTTGAGGAGGGGGTATCTTGAAACAAAATTGTTCACATTTGCGACAATGGCATGTGTACACTGGTATAATCTGCAGCAACCATTGCCTGTGATGATTGCCAGCAATGATAGCCTTGGAATTATCCGAGTGGATCGTGGTCTTTAAGGCACACACACAGGCTTCCACTATTAAACTTTTATTTTCCCAGGCAAGGCCCACTCAGCCTATATAGCCCTTTTTCAGACGCGACATGGCCACAAAGGATAGCTCAACGCAGTCGTTTATCACGTATAAATTTATAGCTGCCAAATACTCTAAACGCATGTTGATTATGAATGTCAAGGGAGAAACCGGAGGACCCGGAGAAAAATCCACTCCACCACGGGGAGAACATGCAAACTTCAAATATACAGCAGGCGTCAGCTTCAGGATCAAACCCTACGTCCTCGCCACCTGCACGGATATTCTGTGTACATATTCTACTGATTAAAAAAGATTTTATACGTACTCGTCCATGATGACTCTGATGTTTAACCAGTGACTCGCCTCGGCTGGCCACACGAGAACATTCCCAGCATGTGTGACTTGTGGAAAACCAGCGATGAGATAAAGGGATGCACATACCAACAGCATTGTCTGCAAACAGAAACAGAAACAATCCATTGTCATCATCGCCTGCATAACCATTATACTCGAATGCCAGAAGCAAGGGCGCCGCAGTGGCGAGATATTAATGACCTCGTCTGGTATACAGGAGGTCGTGGGTTCGATCTGGACCGTGATCTTATATATTTGGAGGCTGCACGTTTTGCCCTATAGGTCGCGTGGATTTTTATCCAGGTCATTCGAGTTTTCCCTACACAATTAGTGACGTGCATTTCAGAGTATTTGGCTGCTTAAAATTTCCACTTGATAAGCCACTTCATTGAGCTATCATTTGTGATAGCCAGGTCACTTCTAAAAACATATATACAGCTCAGTAGATCTTACCTTGTACAATACAACAGTTGACTTTAGTTGTATTTATATATATCTTATTTTACATGTAGAAACAACTATCGCTCAAGGAGCTTTACAAAGTTTTAAAGCGGTAACATTAACCAGGTGATTTAGATGGCGAGGGGTGTGCAAGGGCCGAAGAATGAGTCACTAACTGAAGGCACATGGGGATTAATTACAAAAATGCAGAGGAGGGAAGAGACGGATTGGAGGAGCGAGAGGAGGGAAGAGGAAGGGAATGGGCAATTGAGAAGAGGTGAGGCTTGAAGACAGGAACGGAAGGAGGTTAAGGAAGGAGAAGTGTGGAGTCTATGTGCAGTGTTGAGTCTATGGGTATACTTTTTGTTTTTTTCGGTAAAGTCACGTAGGTAAAAATAAAATAAATTAAAATGAAAACAACTAAATTAAATCACGGCGTTTCGGGCGCAACACAAGCGTCCGTCTTCAGGTGGGGACAAACACAGCGTAAAAACAACCGCTTAAGTATACCTAAGAGATGGCTGTGACGAGGAATTATAGGCCACGCCCCCCTCAGTGTGTGAATCTGGCTCTGACACTAGCCATTGCCTCCCCAGCCATTGACCTCACAGCACGTCACTGCTGTACAGGGGAAGTTGATTTCAGTGGTGGGATGCAAGGAGGGAGAAATATTGAAAACGAGATTGGGCTCAGGAAGAAGGATGGACAGAGAGAAAGAAGATTTAAAATGAAGAGCATGAGGGGGACGTATATGTACGTAGAACTTATTTCGAACCGTACGTAGCCAACCATTCTCATCCGAGGCTCAGGGGGAACGACAACAAACTCAACACAGCAAGCAGTTATAAAGAAATTAGTTTTTCATCTAAAAATAGAGTTTTCAATCAACTATTGCACATACCACCATCATACCAGTACTCGCACACTCCTAATATGCTCTGCTAGTCTTTATTCACGGTTTATATCACACCGATATTCATGAAGCACATTCACGTGCACATGTCCAGCCCTTTCATCAATCCACTGCTGTGTGAAGGCACGTTGATATTGTTGTACCACACTTTACCACTGAGACTAAGACGTGGGAGGCAAGGAAATCGAGATTGTTGTACCACACTTTACCACTGAGACTAAGACGTGGGAGGCAAGGAAATCGAGATTTAATTAACACACTCCAGCCGCCGTGCCTGGGCCCTACTAGAACACCTCGGTGCCTGCTATTGCAACAGCATAACGGATTGCAAGAGTCCTGCCAAACTCTATAGCCTTCAAACTAGTGTGGAACGCAAAAGGAGCGCTCGACAAAATAATCCATCACCATTTACACCAGACTAGGTCCTCAATTTCTTCACAAGACTTCCCACAGCGATCAAACACAGAGGAAGTGAGGGAGGGTCTTGCTGCAATGATTAAAGGAGAGGCTGCCAGCAGAGATGGTATCCCCCCCAAAATTCCTATAGAAACCATAAACGATGTTGGTTTTTTTTACCAGATAATGCCCACTGAGTCTTAGGTCTTTTTCAGAAACGACCTTGCCACAAATGATAGCTCAACGAAGGGTTGGGATCGGACCCCACTACCACATGGATACCAGGCTAGCGACTTAACATCTCGTCATATAGAAATGTGAGGGGTGGGTTTGTTTGTTTGCTTACCGGTATCGGATCGCAGGGCCAGTCCTCTGAGCATTCAGTAGACAATCCGACTTACAATGTGGGCAGAAATACCACCCGCTTTATTTAAGACAGTGTGCACCCAATCAAAAACCTAATTAGGCTCGTAGACTTTGATACACGTTAGATGTGTGCCTGTTGACACACCCGTAGCTGTGTTTTCGAGATGCGGTTTTAATGGGTTACGTAAAGTTTATTACCCACAAGGTCACGGGATGAGTTGCGATATGCTACATCCTCGCATGGGTAACACTCGCACCTGATAACAAGAGTCTCCTGGGTTCGATTCCAGAATCGGGTTCCTTTTTACGTGGAGTTGGTACTCCCGTTCTTGGTGTTCTCCAGTATCCTTCCATAGCAACATATTTTTTTATACAAAAAACCGAACGGCTTTTTCAGTTTGTATCTCATTTCCCAGCGTTATGAGTGGTTGTAGGTCACGCACCAGACAGGAATAAGACTGTCGGCTCTGTAATTACTTACTACTGAAATAAAAAATTAACAAAGTCCAATAAACCAAATCTACGCAGTTTCAAATGTGTATTTAAAATGCGTACTTTGAACAGCAAATGAATGTTGTCTGAAACCAAGTTATTTTTTAATTAAATTGTTAACACCGGATTGTGTTTGGGATCGGTGGTAAGTATGTAAACACCATACCTGTCAACCCCTTATCAGTACCTACTTTATTACAGACCAATTCAGACCTTATTAATCACCCCGTGCCCTTATACATTTCTATGTTCATCCTGCATAGTCCCATCACAAGGGAGAAACACAAACAAATAGACGACAATTGTATTTTTTTGCCCGTATTGAAACGTATATATACCGTATTCACCTGAAAACTCAATTTCCCTGTACAGAAATACGGGTAAACTGTATGGGTTGACAGGTATGTAGTACGCTGAACTTATTTCACACCATACATGGCTAATCTGAGGGGTGGTGGTACATCGATCCACTGCTGTACGTTGGTATTGTTGTACCACACTTCACCAAATGAGACTAAGACGTGGGAGGCAAGGACACCGAGCGAAACAGCGATGTCCCAGGTCACGTAAAATGTGCATTGACTCCAGTATACTATTCTACTTTGAATCTAAATCAAGATGAATGCTGAATAACAAATTTGGCCTCAATCCAGCTGTTGAGGAGGTTGTAGCAGGAGTGGCAAGTCGAATTCCCGTGGTGCCGGAATGCCGTCACCGTTTTGTTTGCCTTCTCACTGCAGCCACCAAGAAGAGCATCCCCTGAGGCTTTCGGTAAGAATCCACTCCGTGCTGGACAAAAGAGACCCAGGATCGGCTGCAACAAGTACAACGAGTCGGGCAGCCCGCAGGTTGCAAAAGGCCCTGCTAGACTCGTTAGACTTAGTCTGACATCAGCGGTGGATTGAGTACGTTAAGGCCCTGGAAATAACACACTCCAACCGCCATGCCTGGGCCCTACTAGAACATCTCGTTGCCTGCTAATGCAACAGCATACCGGACTGCAAGAGTCCTGCCAAACTCTATAGCCTCCAAACTAGTGGAGAACACAAAAGGAGCGCTCGACAAAATAATCAAGCGAGAGATCTATTGCCAATTACACCAGACTATGCCCTCAATTTACTCACAAAACTCCCCACAGCGATCAACACAGAGGAAGTGAGGGAGGATCTTGCTGCAATTATTAAAGGCGAGGTTGCCGGCAGAGATGGTATCCCCCCTAGAATTCCTATAAAAACCATGTACAGTTTTTTTTTCACCAAGTAAGGCCCACTGAGTTATATAGGTCTTTTTTAGAAGTGGCCTTGCTACAAATGACAGCTCAACAAGGGGTCGGGATCGGACCCCACTACCTCCTGAATACTAGGCTAGAGAGTTAACATCTTGTCATATAGGAATGTGAGGGTGTGCTTGTTTGTTTGCTTATCGGGAACGGATCACAGGGACAGTCCTCTAAGCATTCAATAGACAACCCGACTTACAATGTGGGCAGAAATACCACCCGCTTTATGTAAGAGAGTGCGCACCCAATCAAAAAACGTATTAGGCTTGTAGACTTTGATCTACGTTAGATGTGAGCCTGTTGACACACCCATACGTACAGCAGGGTTTTCGAGATGGGTTACGTAAAGTTTATTACCCGCAAGGTCACGGGATGAGTTGCTACAGTGAGGGGAAAAAGTATTTGATCCCCTGCTGATTTTGTACGTTCACCCACTGACGAAGAAATGATCAGTCTATCATTTTAATGGTAGGTTTATTTGAACAGTGAGAGACAGAATAATAACAACAAAATCCAGAAAAACGCATGTCAAAAATGTTATAAATTGATTTGCATTTTAATGAGGGAAATAAGTATTTGACCCCTTCTCAATCATAAAGATTTCTGGCTCCCAGGTGTTTTTATACAGGTAACGAGTTGAGATTAAGAGCACGCTCTTAAAGAGAGTGCTCCTAATCTCAGCTTGTTACCTGTATAAAAGACACCTGTTCACAGAAGAAATCAATCAATCAGATTCCAAACTCTCCACCATGTCCAAGACCAAAGAGCTCTCCAAGGATGTCAGGGACAAGATTGTAGACCTACCCAAGGCTAGAATGGGCTACAAGACCATCGCCAAGCAGCTTGGTGAGAAGGTGACAACAGTTGGTGCGATTATTCGCAAATGGAAGAAACACACAAGAACTGTCAATCTCCCTCAGCCTGGGGCTCCATGCAAGATCTCACCTCGTGGAGTTGCAATGATCATGAGAACGGTGAGGAATCAGCCCAGAACGACACGGGAGGATCTTGTCAATGATCTCAAGGCAGCTGGGACCATAGTCACCAAGAAAACAGTTGGTAACACACTACGCCGTGAAGGACTGAAATCCTGCGGCGCCCGCAAGGTCCTCTTACTCAAGAAAGCACATATACATGCCCGTCTGAAGTTTGCCAATGCACATCTGAATGATTCAGAGGACAACTCGGTGAAAGTGTTGTGGTCAGATG